AATTGGTCGAGCCCTTTGAAGATCAACCAACTTTAATTATCTACAATTTGGAGCCAAATGAAATTCATTCCAAATGGATGAACCCTTCAATTGTTTAGAATGAAGCTGGATGATTCTGTCCAACATTGCATGTATTGTAATAAACGATTTGTATTCACTCTCAAGAATAAAGAACCCTTATATGCTCACTCGCATAACCTGTAATTGTTTAAGTTCATACTTCTTTCGCTCTATTGTTCACTTTTTGGTACCTGCGCTTTCCTCGCCGTTGACCTGTAACAAGACGATCAGATCTTTGCCAAAGAGAGGGCACGTTAGCCCGACAAGCGTACAGCTATGAATTGCTACACACAAATACGAAACTGACGATCTCAAAAACCGTTGAGTTTGAACGTTTACTGATCAGATTTCTGTATTCTTGGAAATGCTGTGAAGAGCTTGCCAATGTATACAGCCTACATATATATGCTGATCGGGTTGGCACTCAAATCACCCACATCAACTACCGAAATATAACGGCAATGAACAATAAACGCATATGAGCTTTTTCGTTGAGAGTCAAACATCATTCACTGTGCCATATCTAGCTAATGTTTAATGTTTAATGGGTTTATAAAGTCATCGGTAATCAAGTATTTGAGTTTAGGCAGGTCGAGATTGAAGGTTCTGTCGAGTCGATGAGATGGATTCAATTTAAGCAACGTTAGTGACTTGTTATTTGACATGTCAGCCAAATTGCATCTAATTCCAGCTTCGTGAATTAACATCTCACGTCATGTCATATAAAAGTACTTGTAGCTGTGTAATCTGAATTGAATCTCTTGACTTTTGAGCTCGTGACTCGTGGCCCAATGTCTAAATTTAAACCATTTCACTGTCTTTAGGCTTAATTATGCCTGATATTCTTTTTTTTTTTTTTTTAACAGATTAACGTTCTTATATTTCTAATCTTTTCTAACTATACAATTACTTCCATCCATTAAGTTCAATTTCCAAATTCACATTTCTCATTAATAATTAAAACAACCACTAGATTTCTAATAATTGGTTTCTTAAAATAATAGGTTTCCAAAAAGACTCTAAGCGTCAAATCATCAATCAACTTAAGATTTCACGATTGATCACTACACAACATCAACGTAGCATTTTAAATTTCAAGTATCTCATGCTTCAAATCATAGAGGAAGTAAATTAGGCTCTGGAAGTTCAGTATAAACCATTGACCAGAACTAGTCTGGTAAGCCACGTCAATATAGAATGCTTGACTTATACGACACTGCTCACTGGAATCCTAATTTGCATCGCGGGTATTTGATAACGTAGTTAAACAATACAAACCGTACGTCACTATTTATAAAGCAATTGAGAATAATAAAGGCGTGACATAGACTCTAGTTTGACTCCAAATTAGCAGCAACAAAGCACTCTTTTCTTCCCGTTTCTGTCATTTGTTGCACAGATTGTTTTTTGGCATAAGATGAATCGTGAACATAGAGGCGATTTTGCTTGACACTTGCATATACAATGCTATGAGTTGGGCTTCGACCTTCATTCGTGTATAATCAACAACAAAATAGGTGTAAATAGCAACGGATAAGCAGGCTCTCTAGTTCCCTTGCTGGCTTATTGATGATTACGCTTCTCTTATATCTAAATACGTCGAGCAGTGCAATTTTAATATCAAAATGCATTTGTCATGCCTATAGTTTCAGTAGGAGCAGAAAATAAGCGTAGACCACCAGCTGTTCAATTTACTTGTTCTCCATTAATCTGTTGCATGCTTTATTAATGCTTTCTTATCACCTAGTTTTCAGAACACTAGTTGGATTCAACCAGTGCCAATTGGGCACCAACAGCCGGAGCCTCCTTCCCGTCAATCAATCATAACTTATAGCTGGCTACTTTGCGGCTGCCAATTCTTCAACAATTGAACTTTGAATCTCCGTCTGAGTGTTATTGAGTTGGAAGGAAACATAGAAGAAATGTTGATGATTTTCAATGTTTAAGCTCTCTTCTTTCTCAACCCCGGTTAAAACCGAATCGCGAGATCGAAGAGCACTTCTGTATAAGTCAACATGAAGAGTACTCCAAGCTATGCATTCATCCTTCCAATTCGAGATACTTCTATAACAAGATTGAGAGCTCACCAGATTAATGTTTCATCTTGTATATACTAAGCGACATTTGCATTGTCTAGTTTGAGACTCTCGTAAAAATTCACTAGATCAAATCGACATTCCTGTTCCAACTTGTGACTCGGCTGGGTTAAATACCAAGTGTACAGATCATAGATCCTTGATCATAAGACTGCACATCTAAACCGTTACATGAGATAGTATGTACTTTACAGATTCATAACTTTAACAATCAACTAGCTTTTCATTTTGAGTGTAAAACCTGTACACGTCTTAGTCGGGTTTCAGTTTCAACTTTCAACCTTTAAGCCAACTTTGGGTTTAGGTACTTGATGATCAACGGTTTATAGTTCATAGCTACATCCTAGCATCGGCACTTGCCTATATAAGATTTTATACAGCCACAGCCTACAGGCCAAAGTCAAAGGATTTAGAAGTACAACATATTGGAATTTGGTTCGAAAGCTGGGAAGTGCCATTTCTGAAATTGTTATACCACGCAAGGTATTTTTCCTCTTCAGCAAGAAGTACCTAGCTTTTAAATTTGAGATCATCATCCACGGTCACTTCAACAAGATATTGAACATTTCTTCAACATCCTGGGAAGGCAACTTCAAGTACAAGATTGAAATAATATGTATACTTTATAATTAAACTAAATGAACCTAATCAAACATAAAACTAATAGAACAATTGGACGTGATAATGAACAAGTTAACAAGAACATCAACTCATCCTATGATGATCCGAGTTTCAATAAAAACCATGAAAAAAAAGAACAAATGGGCCACCATAAAAGTGAAAATGACAGGCTTTCAAAACAATCATATTGCAATGAACTATAATAGATTACCAATTGACTATGGACATGATGTGATTGTAACAACTATGATGATGGTGATTATAATAACAAAGTATAATATGAATGACTAAGTATATTAACGATGAATGATTGTTTGACAAAAAAACTGTATTGATAATGAACAAAAACAACTTCTAAAACATAACAATTAAAATAAAATAGCATGGAGCTCCTAGCAAAACTGTCACTTGAGAAGACACTGAAGTAATTGAACCTCCATTAAATTAACCAACCAGCTACCCTTGAATGCAAAAACCAACACTCTACCTATGGAAATCACTAACTGATTTAGCCTTCTTCAAAGAATGTCTACCATCCTCTGTACGATGTTCATTTTCTCTTTTACCACCAATAGAACTTTCCTTGCCACCAGTGGTTCCATCTTCCCCTGGTGAAGTTGTCAACAATGAAGAGACTGATAACTTTGATTTTGAAGTTGTAGTTGGTGCTTCATCTTCAGTAACTTCTTTAATTCTTGCTGGAGAAGATGGTGTTCTTTGTAAAGATTGTCTATTCTTGACATGTGGGTGATGATGTGGATGATGTGGTAAGTAATGATGTGTTGTACCAGTTGGATGTTGAGGAGGTGATGTTGTACTGGTTGCAAGTTCTTGGAAAGTTGCATTGATACTTCCATAAGAATTTCTTGATGAAATTGAGGATATTGATGAGCTTGCAGAATAAAGTGTATTGTATGTAGAATTTGAGGAAACAGATGTATTGTTTGGATTATTTGTACTTGATGATTGATTTGGTTGTTGATGTTGATGAACTTCAATAACAGAAGGACGCAATTGTGAAGTCAAATGCGATATATTAGGTATTGAAGCTCCACGATCATTTGGAATGGATCTTGGTGCTGGTCCTTGTTGTGTTGGAATAGATCTTGGAGGGAAATGTGGTGATGTAGTAGAGGTTGGAGAGGAAGTTGGTAAGCTTGAAGGCAATGATTCATTTCTTCTTGACTGATTCGCTTGAAAATGAATGTGAGGAACTGAGCTAGAACCTTTGATGGATGGTGATATATGATAAACTGGATTAGAATGTGTAGCCAAACCTTGTTGAGTAGAAATAGATGCAGTTCTATTACCAGATGATGAGCTTGAAGAAATAGAACCTTGAGGAGAAGGATTCAAAGGATCCACAAAAACCGATGGTTGCCTTTGTCCTGAACTTTCCCAAAAGTGAATAGATTGATTCCTTAACTGTTGATGATGTTGCAAGTTCTGGATGTGTTGAGGAATGGCTGATGGATGAGGAGGAGGCAATGGCGCACCAGTTGTAGCAGCACCTTGTGGATGTTGTGGATGTTGTGGATCCATTTCAGCAGACAAAGGAGATGGTTTATAATAATCAGCTCTGAAATTAAAGCTTTGTCTCAAACTGCTAAATCCTTCAGAATATCTATGACCTTGTTGTTGTAAAACGGGAGCCAATTTTGGAATGTTTTCAGAAAATCTTAGCACATCAGATGCTGTTGTCTTCAATTCATTATTCAAGTATTCTGACTTGACATTCATAGTCCTTTGTTGATCAATCAAGTCATTAGTGACGTTATGTACATGAGAATGATCAAACTCATTAGCCTGCAGTTGTTGTTGAACCAAAGGTGGAGGTGGTGTGAACTGACGTTCTTGAGCAAATGGTGAACCGAAAGATGAACGATTTTGCTGAATTTGATATTGGTGGTTTCTGGGTATTTGTTGGTAACCTGATGTGAAACTATTTGGTGATTGTGATCTTTGTAGTTCAGGGCCTGCTGAAAAGACAGCTTGTTGCTGTTGTTGAACCAAATAGTATTGCTCGGGAAGATGTCCTTCTTGGGTTGGTTGTGGATGATGGATTAGATGATGTTGCTGGGATGATGCTTGTTGATGAGGTTGATTGGGTATACCTTCTGGAGGAACTGGATAATGGTATTGAGGATAAAAGACGTTTGTATCAGTTAAACGATTATTCTTTGATTCATCTTCAGGAACCAACTTATTTGACGATCTCCTTTTGATAAAAGCCAACCCTGCTTCATCACCTTTCTTGAAATTCCCAGTAGAGTGTCTAAACTCCCACACAAGATCATCACTGTTTGAATTATTATTACTATTACTTTCTTTATTCTCATTATCATTATCATTATCAAACACCTTGTGAAACCCGTACATGTGCAGCTGACGAACAAAACTGGATACATTACCATGTTTAAAGTAATTGGTCAGAGCATTGGCAAATTCAGTTCCTGGATGTAGTGCAAAAACACCATCATCATCTTTTCTTGACCACCATATCAAATGAGACAGATTTGGATCTGATAACATCGCATATAACTTGTGAACAAATGCTGTTCTCTTTGGGGGTTGTTGTTGTTGTTGACCTTGTGAGCTAAACGATGGCCGTATTGTGTTATTCTCCTCTTTCTTCGCATCATAATCAAAATGTGGTTTTGGATGTTGTTGTTCAGCAGCATCATCAGCATTTGTGTTGTTTGTTGATGACATTTTCTTCTATGACTATCTTCTTCACTTTATTTCTCTTTTGTAGATTTGAATCTAATGATATCTAAATGGCGGCTAACTGCGCCGCCAGCAATAGCTTTATAAAATTGATGTGATTTGAGGAAACCCTGGTCTTGAGTAATCTGAATAGTAAACAAGACGAAGCTGTTGAATGAAATCTAAACCAATGTAGTTTTTGAGGTTCAAAACAAACACTTTTCAATCAATCAAACCGACAATGACTTTCAATATTCAACGCTATGATAAGAACAGTTCAATAAATCAAACACCTGTCGTGTATAGTACCTATTGATCAATGTCTCCGAGTGTTCAATAATATGACTTGACTTTTCGGTTCCGCCTCTTGTAATGAATGAGTTGGTTTAATTCAACACTTTTTGCTAGTAATCAATACAATGAAGGTATGTTTCTTTTCTCAACTGTGATGTCTATAAATCTCAACTTGAATCCTTCATTAACAGTATTACCAAGGTATCAGGAATGATTAAATGTTGTGGAAAAAGCACTGGCAAAAAAAAAATTTACGAACTTTTTGACCTCTTCCTCTTGAACTGGAGACTTTTCTCGAGACTTCCAGTTGCTTGAATCTGGTTGTATCGATTATTGTTGAGCCGGTTTTGAAAACCTTTTTGATGTGTTGTAACTGTTGTTGTTCTTGTTATTGTTGTTGTTAAATTAATAAAATTTGTTCAATAATGGAGCCCAGTGGATAATTGTTGTTCCCCTTTGGGTATAGGCAAATTTACTTGAGGATACAAAACTGAATGAAGATTAAAGGGACCTTTAGTACCTTCAGCTGTTGCCACTCTTTTTGAATTCTGTGTGTGTTTGCTGGAGGCAAAGAGTGGATTGATGAAAGGATTCCTGTATATATAGAAAAAAAGATGTTTTTCGATACAAGAAATGCTTTAAAGCTCCAGCTATAAACTGGGCCGCAGTTCCTACAACGTCAATTTTTTCGTGCTGCTGTACTGTTTTTTTTTTTGGTAGTTAATTTTCGGTCTGTCGTGGTTTGGGACACACAGGATTACGTTACTCGCTCAACAGTGCTTCACGGGAAACTGATTTGCGTTGTGCTGTTTGGAACCCAAGTTTAAAATCTGCATATCAGTGCATTGATGGCAAGGGGATACTTGCATCTGCGCGCAGTGCGGTGCAGTACAGCTGGTTGAAGTGAAAGCTTATATCAAAACCGCATCAGAACATTTTCAAAGGGTAAATAAAAACAATAGCCAGGTCCAATATGATGATGAATTCAACTAATATAGCCATTGGAAGAATACCAAGTGTTTGGTTCAAGTCTTTAAAAATAGTTCATATCAATCGGAAATATTGATAACTTTCTAGCACGCGAATCTTTCCAGCTGGTTCTACTGTGAATTTATTCAACGGTACAACTATTACAACAAGTTTGAAGCCACTACTACACTAGCTACGTGCTATCTAAAGTCACGAATATTCGCAATTACTTCTATTCAATATTGCCATATACTGCTATATATACGCTAGCGTATGCCCAGTGTCAATGTCATATTATAATAGCAAAGGAAAGTGAATACCTACCCAGCCTCAGCGCTAGCTAGCTCGCTAGATATTCAACAATAGAACGGTGTCATAGTTTCAATTTACACGCACTAAATACGTTCATATATCGCAACTAATTCTAGAGTTCGTTGATGTATGTGCTATGTTCTATTTATCGTAAAGAGCAGCTAGGAATATTATTTAGCACACAAGCAGAATAAGACAATTTCGACAAGTGACATATCGATTCTTAGCTAGCTACAGTTTCGCTGTGGTTGTTTTGATAGAAACATTATATAACATTCTATGTAATATTAATAGAACTAAATTTAATCCGATTAAGATTGAAGCATTTGATTCCAAGCGTCTGCTATAGTTACCTCTAGTGCGGAAGCAGGCATGCAGTATAGACTGACCATTGGAAACATAAATATCTCAAGATATATATACGCGCTAGAAAGTAGCAATTGCCGGAACTTTATTCAAGATATTGGTTGACTGGACACCTTTTGAACGTCGCTTTGATCGATCTTGATCCCTGGGCACCTCTTGAAGGGAAATGCGTTTAGTTTGTCATAGAGTCTGGCCTCAAAGCTTACAATATATATACTATAAATATTTACAACTAGAATAGTTAGTTTTAGCAGCTCATGTATTAAAAAATATCGACCGGCGATATTGCTCTAGTGCTAGTTTTTAAAAGTTAATTATGTGGCCACTTATAGCAAAATGCGTTCTTTCTGGCTAATTGATATTTTCAGACGCTAGCCATAGTGAAGGTGATTATATTTATATTGACTTGAAGAGCTTAAAATTAGTCAGTTAATATTTGAATACAATTGGATAAGCTCCTCATATGACAAGCGCTCAATTAATGATAAGATGAAGACTAATTCAGCTAAACATTTATAGCAAGGTAACTTACTTCGCAGCTTGACCAGGCGTCTCTTGGACCGTCACAGGGCCGTCTCGAAGCCTATTTGAATCATCGAATCATCTTTTCAATCTTTTCAACACAGAAGAAAAATATAGTTCAAACTTCAAACTTCTCTCGACTTCTTTTCTTCTCGTTAAATTGTAACCATGGGCTCTGAAGTTTGGACCCGTTGGATAGGCTCGGTGTCTGAGAGCTGCACGTCTTGCCCGTACCGCAAAAAGCATAATTACATACACACGACGCGCGCGTCCACTGGTGGGAATAAAGTTAGAGATCACCGCCCCAACATGGGCCTGTTGACTCTTGGGAGTTAGGCGGGGGTTCTGCCTGGATGATAATTTTCTAGAAGGAGCACCGGGCGGGCTCTAGACGAGTCTAGAGGGACTCCCACCTAAACAACGAGTCACGATTCACGGGTACCTTAGACCAAAGCATTGCTTGATTTTGCCGGAAGCAAGATCAATATGAATCATGATTCACTTATTATTCAATCATGATGGGAACTACAATACTATATACACCATCCATTAGCGTAAAGACAAGTTAGGATACCAGCTTCAATATGAAAACGTGGGCACTGGAGTCAGTCTTGCCTTCAGGAGTCAGCAGTCAAAGCTTAACTACATTAACCATCGTATCCTGAAATGCCATATTCAAGGTTGAATTATCCCCAAGTTTAGTTCATGAGGCCAACTTTATTCTGGATTAAAGCCTTTTTTATGATTACGCTTAATAATTTCAGCTCAAGAATCAAAACTGTTTGAATTTGGGCACAATTCAAGTATATGCAAATGATCTTTTTAAACTCTCAACTCAAATTAGATTAAGGTACGATTGGATTTATTCAGCATCTTTGAAGTCATCATGGGATGCTCCATCGGCCATAAGTACAGCATATAATAATCAGGACAAAGTTAATCAGAAAATATTATAATTCTTTTGAGATTGATTGATTGATTGATTGATTGATTGGTTAACAGATATAAAGGTACTTTGCTCCTTTCACTTGAAAAGCTATTTGGGACTGTTTCTCTGACTCAGTATTATTGATTAGAGCCTCCACACATGAATGATCAATTTATATAATCACTTTGATTTCCATCCTTTCCTAACGGTTGAAGTGTATAATTATTCATCTTGGTGTATTTTAACCGCTATTTTTATCTATGAACTGATCTCAGCGTATCACCCATACTGTCATCATCAGCTTAATTATTGGTCAGCTTTTTGAGCTTAATTGTTCAAACTTTGAAAACTGAACTAGCTCTGTTATTTCGTTGATCCACTCTCATCTGGATTGCAGTTTACAAGCTTCAGGTGACAAACCTCTTGGGTCAAACTCCAGTTAAGTCTTGGTTTGAGAGTAAACTAGTCTACTTTGTAATAATATGTACGATCGGATATGCTACAAGACTTAAAGAAGAAGTATCCAGTAACAGGAACGGAATCGAGATCACTATAAACAGGTTCAGAACAGCCATATTTACATAAATACACAGAAATATAGCTAGTAGACTAGCAGGAAGAATAAAAACATAGAGACGGGAAATGTCATTCGCTCTTGTAAAAGTTAATTCCACCCTGGGGTCTGTAAGTGGAGTCGTTGTGTTCTCAGGCGAACCAAGCTCATCTTCCACAACATGTACCAGTTTGAGTTCTGTGTACTGAAAAAAGCCTGGGACAGCAGCCATTCTACGTACTACATAGGTAGATAATAGTTAGATACTTGTAACGTTTCACGTGGTAGCTGTTGAAAACTTCGGTGTTCAAACACAAATGTCTAACCAGGAACCAATATTATTATACCATTATGTAGTCGATTTGTGTACAACTACATACTACACCTATGCTCTTTACAGAACATATGATAAGGTTTCACCGAGCACATCTAGCTTACGAATTATTACTTTAATGTCGAGATTAAAGTTGCAATCCCGGTGAAGGTCAAATTGAAATGAGTCGTCGTCTCATGAACATGATAGCATCATGAGTTTTGTTTAAAGAGGTTTTAGCTTTAAATCGAGATTCCAAATTTCAAAGATTCATAGTGACCACTCGATTCGAGTTTCGATTGTGTAGCAAATGTTGTTCTCTTTCACTCTTGAGGCTTGACCATATTCCATGAGATGTGTATTTATGCTTTGGTTCATGTCTAGTTAATGGAGCATAGCCTAGGAACAAACGTAGAAGTTGTAGGAGAAGGTAGACCTGATTAGTACGGTGGATTATTAGCTACATATCATAGGTAATTTAACGTCATTGGGCTCCACTAAATGTGTACACAACTCATGTGATGAATACTGAGACCATATTGTAGCGAAAAGTTTCAACTTTCAACTTTCGACGCCTTAAATAGAACATCTGGTGAGAAAAACTAAGGTTACATTGCGTACCACTTGAATGCTTCACCTCCAGGAAAGAACACTGATGAAATGTGAGTGAAGCCTTCAACATGACTAAATATGGCCGCTTTCCTATGTAAAGATAATAAAAATATGCTTGGTGAAGGGCAGGGACTTCTAGAATCTAGAATATAATGATTGACGAAACGCCATTGGAACAGCACATAATGATCTGATACGACGTAGTCGACAAACTAGATGTATTTTTACATAGTAACTAATAGCGCCTGTTTATTCTAAGCATATTTGCCAGCTGATCTATCGGTCAGAATCCACTCTCATGGTTGATTAAATAAGTTATAAATCTAAATATTCTGAAAAGCTAAAGCAAGCTAAATATGCTTCGATTGTTATTAATTAGGCGATATACAGCTATCAAGTGGGCCCTGAATCTTGATATAGATTTCAAATCTCCAAGAGTCGAGGCAGAAATTTGAGCGCAAATATCATCTACAGTGAACAGCGAATCCATAACCTTTCAATAGTACTAAGCGCCTCTAAGTCTACATATTAACAGTATAAAGCTATTGGAACATACATGCTTGTGACTTTTAAACATGCTTTGGCTATGGCATCCAAACTTCAAAGATCTATGTGCACTGTTGTTGACATGTATAAACAATATGCAATGGGTACGTTGTAGATCCGTTGCAACAACCTTATCCAACTATGATCGCCGCTAGACTGCAATCTATTTTAGATCTGGTTGAAGCGACTTTCTATGCACTTGTACAACTTGCCTATAAAAGGAGAGTGTCTTTCTTTTATTCCGCCTAAATAGTAAAAACTGTTCAAACTTCAAACTAGGGAAATGAGGATCATGAGAATGTTGAAGAAAACTTTGCTGTTGGTTCAGCTTGAAACATATCCAAACTACGTCTGCTGCAAATTCAAAAATGTGCATCAGTACCCAGCTCTGGGGAGATGAAGAAACTGCGTGTACTTATTTATCAGCAACTAGCTCTAGCTTGCACTAGACAACTTGTCGTGATATTCATGATCATTTGTTAAAATTGAGATCCATACCTGTCGCGTTCTGTGGTTGATGGCGAATATCATTCACTCTGAGGTTAACAAAGCTTTCAATCGGGATTCAGGACACAAGCGGGTCTTAACAGCATTATGATATTGTTGTACTGTTTTCCAACTAATCATTCAGTCTAATATTAATTCTACAATTGATCAAGTTAACTTGGAGAAGTTGTAACTTGTACCTGAATAAGTTACCGTCGCGTAAGCTAAAATCCATCGGACTTAAAAATCGCAAATGGTATTTTTGGTTGAAGTACAATATTTTGCAGCCTCACCTTCAAGAAAGAACCCTGTGAAAACTTGATCCTTGATAAAAGATCACTATTATCCAATCACAGTACCCAGATCTATTAATCCAGCTTGTGGGCATGGAGAGAGCTTTACAATACACTTCTCTTTGCAGCTTTCGATCTTAGATTGCACATGAGAGGCATTCCACTGAGCAGTGAATATCAGTGCTCAATTCTCAGCTTTATGTACACTGCAAACACTTGGTATCTACACTGATGAAGATTAATGACAATTTGCGAACCATTGCAGGAACATGGCCTCTCTATTTTCCAGCTACCTGTAATTATATTTGAAGTAAGTATATAAGTTTCAGATCAAATTTAAACTACTAATTCTGTGAGCCAGGCGTCTACACTAGCGGCTGTTGTGCTAGCTCTAGACGCAAGTGACAACTCACAATTAAACACAACTAATTATATTAAAGCTGCACCAAGTGCCCAGCACCTACTGTTCAGGGTCCTTCAAAGAATTTTGAGAAGGATCTCAATGTTAACAATACTCAAAATTATTGATATTTCTGGCAGTCATACTTAGGCTAGGTAGCTAGTTTATGCGTGCCATTTTACATAGCAGTAATTCTATGTCCATTAACAATATATAAGGCGTGCTTTACTAGTCTAATATTCCACAGTAAACACGTATCAGGTTTCACTAATCTATGTGTTTGTTGTCCTGCTTTATAAATAGACGTACTCGTATAAATCCATTCACTGCCAGCTGTGCATAGTGCCTTCAACATGCATAACTAGGTAGAAGTGGTCTATGGGTTTGTAGGTACGCGTGCATCGCTTCGAGGTTCAAAAATAATTTCAAAGAACCAAGAGACGTTGACGAATCGAGATCTCGCATCTATTATTAATTGGTTGAGCCTATATTGTTCTGTAACAAGATGATATGAGAGATGGAATCTTGAATCTTGAAGCTGTGGTTTTGTTCATATTGTACAGAAGCCCAAGAATACTACAAACCACGTTCAACAGATCAAGTGAGAATTACTAAGTCGGTACTTCCTATGATTAATACGCCAAATCTGAAAGAGAATCACGTCAAGATTTATTAAAACAAAGTATAAAAATGGTAAAGAGCTTAATGAAGCTGGTATTCAACATGGCATTACAGCAACATTAAAAGTAAAAAAAAGGGTAAAACAAAACAAAAAGTGGGGGTTGACAACAAATTTAACAATATAAACCTTTCCAATTTTGGTCTCTTTCAACAATTTCTCTCTTCTTTTTGACTTTTTTATCTCTCTTTCACTAAAATATATTCTTTAATTTCTTGATGGTGATGATAAAACAAGATAACTATCAAAATTTCATCTCATTTCAATTCCCTTTCTTCCTCTCTAAATTCAAGTTCTTTCTCTCATAAAAGCACACACACAAAAAATACAAAACAAAATAAAAGAATAAGTAATAAAATTGGTTCAAATGAAAAAAAAAAGGCCGATGATAATAATTTATAAAAAAAACTAGTGCTGTAAAAAAAGTGTTTGATAATGGAAAAAAAATCAGAATGAATTGAAATTAACAATAAAAATTATATTCATTGACCTTTTTATAAAATAACACACTTCTTTTTACCTGGTTTTTTAGCTTTCTTTTCTTTACTCATTAATGAAGCTCTAGTGGCAGTTTTGAAAACTTCATCAACGTTGAAGTTTCTCTTAGCAGAACATTCAATATATTTGATAGCACCAATTTTATCAGCAACACTTTGACCTTCACTTTGTGAGACTGGTGCTAAACCTTCATCTCTTAATTTTTGAATGGTGGATGGATCATCTCTTAAATCAACTTTACAACCAACTAAGATGATTGGAACACCATGACAGAAATGTAAAACTTCAGAAATCCATTTTTCTTGAACGTTACCTAAAGATTCTGGTAAATCAATAGAGAAACAAATCAAAACAACATTTGTATCTGGGTAAGATAAAGGTCTTAATCTATCATAATCTTCTTGACCAGCAGTATCCCATAAGGCCAATTCAACTCTACGACCATCTAAATCAACATCAGCAACATAGTTATCGAAAACAGTTGGAACGTAAATATCTGGGAAAGTACCTTTTGAGAAAACAATCAATAAACAAGTTTTACCACAAGCACCATCACCGACAATGACTAATTTTCTTCTGATATCTGTTTGTAATTGTGACATTATGTGTTGTTGTATAATATATTATAGTATGTGGAACCAAAAAAAAATAGATTATTAAAAAATAAAAGGATTGATGAAATGAACTAATAATTACAATTGAACTTCTTCTTTTTGGAATTGAATGAAGTTTGATGCAATAAAATTGATGTTTGATAGGGAGTTTTTGAATAAAACTAAAAAACCGATTTTCAAGGCTATAGGAATTGAAATGTTAGTAAGGAACAAAACCTAAATGATAGTTTAAGAGCACTTGAGAGATAATCTATTGGAATTTGTCGAAAGTTTGATTGTTTTTGGATGATTGCTTGATGTTTTTTTTCCTTAATTGTGTCTTGTTGTCATTTTCAATTTCACCTCAGATCAGATCAGAGATTCTACCAAATGAAAACGAAGCCGCCCAACGACAACGAGATTTAAAACTCCATGAGTGGCTGCTCAGTAAACCAATCTCCCCAATCTGAGCTTTTGGAGTCCTTTTTTTGAAACTTTTACTCAAGATCTCACATTAATTGGGAAAGGAGGCAATAGTAAAATTCCCTATAAGCCCATAAGAAAAAGATAAACACAAAACTGGTCAGATCATCCTCAAGTTCTTCAATTCGTCTCAAAGATTAACTCTATTATCTTGCTCTCTCGTGCTCTCTCTATTGTCTGTGGCACTTTACTCACCTTGTTCTGGTTGATGTTCAGTAAGACCTTGTAGACTTGGAAACGGAAGTTGTGTGTTGTTGATTCGATCAAAAGATTTGTTTCGTGTTTGGAGAAAAGGTCCAAATTTTCGCCTTTTTTTTTTTAATTTTTTCTTCTGGAATTTTGCAACTGAAATTTTTGAGCTAAAAATAATTGGAAGGGGGTGTTGGGATGTGCTCTAGGCGGAGGAGGCTCTGCCTAGCTGCTCCCGAGCCACCCGTAACGCTAGGCAGACAGGCAGACTCTCTGCCCATTGCCAGCTGAAACACGCAGGCCCCAGGGGATTTCACATTTCACGAGATGGTGATGAGTTGAGTGTTTGATAGCTCTACTTTAAATCTATATAGTGTCGATGGGTTTTAATGTCATTGAGTTGTTTCAGAGCTACAAAATAATCATGAAAATAGCACTTGCCACTTGATATGATCTCAGAAATGACAGGCACAAAATAAGTCAGATTCTAGATCGCAAGTCCAAGATTTGGTGAACCCGACAGGAGACTATTAATATTCGAATGAAAGCTTTGTTTAATTACAATCTGAGATATGACCCCATTCTTGCTCTTTAAGTTAAGCTATTGGGTCTATTTTTAAACTACAGTCTATATCAATACTTTATTTGGCTGAACTTGGTCTAAAGCGCGAAGGTGAACCAGGCTTAGAGCTAGTTAGCATCATATTGAAGCAGCGAGCACGAGACACGTACAATGATAGACCAGAGAGATAGTACATGTCACAATTCTATATCACTGATACATCTATACAAATGACACCTACGATGGAATCAAACCAAAAAAACCAAGAAACCAGAAACCAGAAACCAAAAAAGCACTATCACCAGGATAAGTATGATTCAATTATTGATTTAAACCTGTTGGCCTTTTAAAAACTTTGCAAACTTACTGGTTTCATGGATACCACATTCCGTCTTTTCTCTACCCTTCCAACGACCAGCTCTTTCATCTTCACCTTCCTTAACTGGTTGTGTTGAATGATAATCACCAACTGATCTATAACCTAAATCTAATAATTCATTATATGGAACATCGTTTTCTTTAATATATTCCAAAACTTGATTAAAACTCCAATTGGCAAAAGGATTAATCTTTATGATTCCTGATTGTTCTTCAATTTCTATAATTGGTAATGAATCTCTTGCACCACCTTGAGATCTTCTTCTACCTGTAAATACAGCACCGACTTCCAATTCTTTATAAGCACGTTGTGAAGGTTCCACTTTTGCTAAGAAATCATATTTTTCTTCATCAACATCCCATAGATTATCACCATATTTCTTAGCAAATTCTAATTCATTTTCACACCCAAAAGGTTTATAAATATTTACTTTATTATTTTGATAACGATTTTGAACTCTTGATACTAGATCTAAAGTTTGTGGGAAATGATGTAATGTATCTATGAATATTAACTCCACTTTGGAACCTTTTGATAATTTTGATAAAATATCAATAGTAACTAATCCTGTTAATCCAAATGCTGTAGTTTGATATAAATTTGGGAATGTTTCAATTGACCATTCAATAATTTCTTGTGGAGTCTTGTTAGATAATGTTTCATTTAAATGGGCTAAATGATCTTCAGATAATATCACTGAATTACCAACTAATGAATAACTCGGTATCTTTGCCTCTTGATGGGTATTAGTTCTTTGACTAGTATGTTCTTTTGTGACGGTCATATTGGATAAAGTGTGAAATATATATGAATCTCGGAATATTTGGAATAAGGAGCTATGTGGTGATTCAACCTTTTCAACTAGATGCTTTAATGAAGAAGGAATTAAAGAAATCTATCTTGATTTCTCATCACGAAAAGATTAAATCCTGATAAACAATCAAATTTTGTCAGTTGTACGTTGTTGTATAGTATTTGTCAACTCGATCACGTGAAACTCTCTAATGGAACGAGTGGCTAATGAAATTTCCAGCCATTAAAAACCAGATCCACTGTGGCTTGGGCCTAAAATCCCAAACCGCCACAGCAGCAAGAGAAAAAATTTTCTTGTGGCGGTTGAGTTTTTGCTTTTTGTGGTTGGGAGTGAGCCCTCGGATTAGATGTCACACGTGATATTGGCCCTCGAAACTTATAATTGTTTGATTTTGCAACGACAACTTGTGAATTACTAGCTAGTACACCTCCAAGAATCAAAAACTATCCAAGCATCATGACCAATTCAGAAGTGGAAAATGTCATTGTTGGTACAAGCTACACGTTAAAGCATCTAATAGAGCTTCTTATAAAAATAGGGGTTCAAGTACATGATTCAGAAGGTACAGATGCTTCAAGAGAAGGTTTATTCAATAATTTGAATTTATCGATAGATGAACTATATAAATTACAACGACCACAAAAGGGCTTAGAACAAGTTCCAATACCACTAGACGTGTTGCAATATATTGAAGATGGTAGAAATCCAGATGTTTATACTAGAGAGTTTGTGGAAGCTACAAAGAAATCGAATCAATATCTAAGAGGGAAAATGTTGGCAATGAGAGATCTTAGAGATACATTGGGGAAAAAGATAAGTGCTGAGTTCCCGGAGTTGACTGAGGTTGTAGATGACATAACAAAGAGAACTGATGGTTGAGATCTATAGAGTTGAGAATTCAAATCCAAAAGCTCAAAGTCCAAAGCTCAAAACTCATAGAGACTTGAAGAAATCCACTCCATCACCATCTGATCCTTATCAGATAAATATAACACTTTTATAACCTCCAGCCACTAATTTTTAATGAATGTTTACGAATTACTCAATTTAATCGAATCTGTAACAATTTCTTGTTCTCGGGCCACATAAAAAAAACTTTCCTATACCAAAAAAAAATTAATCTAAAACGTAAACATTCAAGCTGGTTTAAACCATATGCAAACGAACCCATAACTTGACCATGGGTAAAAAATCACACAAGAAATCACAAGCAGTTGCAGCATTAGAATCCACAACGGCGCCTTTGTTAGAGTTGAAATATGATGCCCCATTATTTGCATTGGCTGCACATCCAACAAAACCAATAATTGCATCAGGTTTAGCAAATGGTTATGTGTTTTTAACAGAATACGATCCAGCAAAATTATCAATCTATCAATATGATACAAAATCAAAGATTGAATCATTATCAAAAGAAGAACGTAAGAAACTTGATAAGAAAAATCAAAAATTTTGGAAAGTTTACATGATTTCTAAAAATACAGAAGATGATGAAAATTCAGGTGTAAAGCAATTATGGAAAACTAAAAGACATAAGGGAAGTGTACGATCTATTTGTTTCAATGCTGAAGGTGATGAAATCTATACAGTTGGTTCGGATAATGTTATTAAAAGAGCAGATTCCTTGACGGGGAAAGTTATTAAAAAATGCGAAATTGATTCAAAAGTTGCAATCACCAAAATATTGAAATCTCAAACCCATCCAATTATAATAACTGGTGATGAAGTTGGTAATGTTCGTGTCTTCAACTTAGATTTAAAGCAAACAAATATTTTACAAAATGTTCATGAAGATGCAATTAATGATATTGTTCAATTAGTTCATAAATCCGCTTATCAATTTTTATCAGTTGGTTCAACTACACTTGCAGTATGGGATGTTCGTAAAGAGAAGGCTAACTTAACTTCTGAAAACCAAGAAGATGAAATGTTATCATGTGGGTTTGTTGATCCAACTAAAGGTGATACATTAATTTGTGGTATGGGTGAAGGTATAGTTACAATTTGGAAACATGAAAAAAATCATTTTTCTGATCAATTATCTCGTGTTAAAGTTGCTAAAGATGAAAGTATAGATTCTGTTATCAGTACTTTACAAAATGATGATTGTATTTGGTGTGGTTCCTCAGATGGTGTTGTTAGTAAAGTTAATGCTAAAAGAGGTCAAGTCTTGGAAACTAGGGTTCATAGTTCAATTGATGAAGTTTCATTTTTGGAAATTGATTATGAGTATAGATTGATTAGTGCAGGTATGGATAAATTGAAATTGTGGAATAATGATGAAGAAGAAGATGATGAAGAGGATGAAGAGGAGGACTTTAGTGACTCTTCAGATGAAGGTGAAGATGATGAATTCAATGGGTTCAGTGATAAAGAAGAAAAGAACGAAGAGGATGAAGATAGTGATGCTTGGGAAGATTTAGGCCCTGCAAGTGAATCAGAAGAAAAAGAAGAGGAAGAAGAAGAAGCACCAAAACCAAAACAATCAAAGAAACATAAAGAGAAAAAGGAGGAAGATGATGAAGATGAAGCCCCAGTTTCAAAAAAGAACAAGAAACAAAAATTGTCTACAAAGCAATTGCGTAATTTGCAAAAGCATGAGCATGGTATCCGTAGATTTGATGATTTATAGATGTATAGTCATATCTATTTGAGTGATGTATGGGTAAATTACTTTAAAGCACTTTTGTAGTACCATTGACCAGTTCAAATTGATCAAATCTAACGAAAAGCGAAAGCATAATTGTGGAGGCTCATAAATCCGTGAACTCAACAGATCAATACATCAAACGAGCCAAACTGGTGAAACCAGCTTCATCTTGTGAGAATAGGTCGAGGTTTTCATTGTTTGTCTATATTTGAATCTTCCACTTCAATAAGTCTTTATCTACAGTGATGAAACGCCCAGTGAAACCTTCATTTGTGGTTTCGTTCTATCCGGAATGGCTCAGAATGTGTCTGATAGAATTGGTTTCAAGAGTTCAATCCAAAACCACAGCAATGTTTATTCCGTGATAATTCTGCAATAGACGACTAATCAAGTTTATCATACCCAAACCCATTCACATTGTAACCGATTTGGGGTAGCATTTGAACTAGATCTGAACAAGTTTTGAAATTTTAATCAAGTTTTTTTTTTCTCGCCAGGCAGGAGCGTTTTAATTTTTTACTTTGCGTCGCTTTCAATCATCAAGAAACTTCAAAGAGAAAAGTACAATTCATACACAACTACTTGAAAATTTTTATAATTGAGTTTATTGAATTGTTTTGAGGAATTATTTGATATATTGGACTTTTAAAATATGAGTAAAACTGAAACAGCCATGAAACAAACCAAATATATCAAGTTCAGTTATAGGTCTCCTACTAAAAGGAAAGGTATTAAGCAAGAAAATGATGGGATGGAGAGTATCCCTAGAATTATAACGAGTCAAGAGGATGAACATTCGCCAACTAGAGTGAAAAGGGAAAGAGAAGAGGATGAAGATGAAGGAACAAACACTTTACAACAACAAGCTAAAGAAGGTTATGTTCGAGTCGATGATGATTATTATTCCAAGCTTGATAAGAACCAATACCCGTTTAGTTCGAAATATATCCCAATGAAACCAGCCTCTGAAGATGAAGGATCACAATCTCCAATCCTAAACAATCCATCTATATTATTACATCAAATGGATAATTACAAAACAGTTAGCGCTGAAAGTGAACAACAATGGGGTCAAGTATCTCACCAAGTTGTTGACTCGTTAAGGGTATGGAGGAAACTATACAAGATCTTGGATAACAAAAAGAGACAACTTAAAAAGGCTCAATGTAAGAAGAATTCAAGTAGCACTGGCTTTAAGAATGGTGGTGTTGACGGTGGTTTAAATGGTGGAGGACTTTCCAACAATTCGTCAAATGACAGTAGTAATGGGAATGAAGAGAGTGAGGACCAAGTCTCAAGTGATAACAGTAATGGGAGAGCTACGAAGAGAAGAAAGCTGTCTGGAGGACAACAGCAAGGGGAGGATACACAGCAGTTAGTTGGTGGTGAAGCTCTTGGGAACGGGTATTCCTCGAATGAGCGCAAGACCAGATCGACGAGATCCAGTAGATGAAGAGGAACCAAGGAGTCGTGATTTCTGATACGAATGAATGTTTTACATGTTTCTATTGGGGGTTAGTAGTCATTTCGAGCACTCTCCAGCTCCTTTCTCGAGCAAAACAGCCTTTGGTTGTCGAGTCTTGAGCACCTTGTAGCGGTATGCACCAGATGCATCGTTCTCTGATTTTAGATCACCGCGAAAGGAAAAAGAAAAGAGACTGGCACAAATCAGAGCTGGTTTCGCCTGGGTTTTGGGTACGTTAGTTGTATGAATATGGTATTCTGATGAGTTTTATAGCTCTTATTGATTAATCCAGTCCATCTTTGATACTTGACCCTGCTGGTCCCTTTCCAATCCACTTGCTCCCTGGGAACTGCAATTAAGGTACAAAAACTTCTCAATAAACTCACAATCACAAAACGCATTCGCGAAATATTAAGGTCACGTGCATACAGGTTTACCCGCAAATTGGCCCTATTGAAATTAAGGAAACAGCCAAATTAAAGTGAGAAGGTATTAATCAACATCAAGTCAATCAAAGCTACCCAATTGTCATAATGAAAGCTGTTGTATCTGTGAGTATAGGTTAACTAGTCCTTTGTCAAATCATACTAACATTTTATTAGCCTGGTAAAGCTTGGTTCTGTACCGTCTTGTCTGCATTCGGTGTCGTTATATTATCATTCATAGGTTATCTATTTAGTATAAACCATGAAAGTATGATGGGATCAGTCAACGATCCTGAAGATGGTAAAGCGTAAGTTGATGATGGAGGTGATTGGCCTGGAAGAAATGTACTAACTCAATGTCAAATAGTGTCGCTCATACTGTCTTCATAGCTGCTCTGGTTTATCTTGGTTTCTTTGTCTTTTGTGGTTCACAAATATTGGTTTACAAGAGACAATCACGTATATCTCTGTGAGGGAATGAATTAGTATTTGGGTTCTTTTTGAAGTTGATCTTTGAAGTAACTAAAACGTTTGTACATTAGGGGGGCCTATTTGAATAGAGAATATTATTCAGATGCTATTGCATTAATAAAAATGAAGGTGGTCAATATGAAAGAGATTCTAGATGCTTAACTGTGTCAATTTTGTAGTAAAAGAGTGTTGTTTGTTGTGAATTTGAGAGTTGTCATGATGGTTTCAATTGTTGTTTCATTTAACTAGAATCGTCACATAAAATGACTCTGATTGGACATTCTTTCAATGGGTAACCAGCACATTGGCTTCAATATTCACCTTATTCAATCACTGTGTTATAGAGCACCGTCTAACTCTTCCTAATTCACTCGAAATTCTCTATGCCAATCACCGATGAAATCACCCAATATTCACCCGTATAATCTCCAAGGAAAACGAAAACCCTTGGAAACACGTAAAACGTTTCTTGTCATACATATGGCTACTTGTCAAAAATGCCTAAAATGCCACTAATTTTGTATTAAAATTGTTGAATTTTGGTGCTTTTGGTGCCCATGTACACCCGTTTTATCGTGCCCATCAGCAAAAAAAAATCTCAACTGATGGAAAAGATAAAAAAAATCAAGCAAAAAGTCAGGTACAAAGTAGAGGAAACCGTGTTGGAAACCGTTCACATGTTTGGTTTAAATATCACCTAAAGCCCATCATTTATTTATTCAAGTCTATATCTATTGGTTTCGTATCACAAGGAAAACGCGTTCGCTGCTAAATATTCACGTCTTTCACTTTGACAGGTTCCAACGTATCACCATCATGATAAGAGCATATAGCAAAAAGTTGAGATCCATTGCATCCACCTCATCACTTCGCCGATATTCAAAGCATACAACTGGACCACAGGGTGTCTATGGTAGACTACCTATTCCAAACCATTTTTACAACTATGATATCCCTTTATCTTCAGAAGAATATCAATCATCCCCACAACAAAGCATCAACACTTCAATATCAGTCACTGATCCTTTAGTGATTTATCAAAACTATGTATCAAGAGGAGTCTTGAAACCAGATGCTGCACAATTAAGAGCTGCTGTGGAATTCCAAAAACTATACTATAGAGTGAAAGATTATGTTCCTCCAGAAGATGTTCAAATCAGAATACGTCAGTTAGTACGAGAAATTGAAGCAAGACATGCAAATAACAATACGAACTATACACCAAGCTGGTATAAGCCAAGTGTTACAAAGTCAAGGGATTTGATCAAAGTACTTACAGATGAAGAAGAATTGACAAATTTCCCATCTCCTCATGGGTTTTTATTAAATGGGGAAGTTGGTTGTGGTAAATCAATGTTGATGGATATTTTTGCAAATTCTTTACCTCATGAATCTAAATGTCGTTGGCATTATTCGAACTTCATGCTTTGGGTATATAATGGAATTCATTTAATTTATCAAAGAAGAGCTCAAAATTCAAATCATACAAGACATTCAATGATTTCTTTGGAGAACGAATTCATATTGTTCGAAATTGCCCAGAAAATGATTAGAAAAAACACTGTGCTGTTGTTAGATGAATTCATGCTACCTGATTTAGCTGCTGCCAAAATTGTCAAGTTGTTATTCACTTATTTTTTCAGACTTGGTGGTGTTTTGGTTGCTACATCAAATAGATTACCTGAAGACCTTTATGCAACAGATTTTAGAAAGAAAGAATTTAGATCATTTCTAAGAGTCCTTGAAGCAAGATGTTATTCCTTGGATATGAATTCTGAAAATGATTATCGGGCAATATTAATGGAGGAATCAAATGAGAAGAATTGTAAATCATATTTGATTTCAAAGGATTCATTAACCCATGAACAAGATTGGTTGGATTTATTGAGCACTGAAATTGATTCATTTGATCTATCAAAAGGTGACGAACAAAAAATAACAGTTTATGGTAGGGAATTAACAATACCATGGCACAATAATGGCGTTGTCAAATTTGATTTCAATGATATTTGTAAAGGTCTTTATGGACCAGGTGATTACATCTCATTAGCTTCAAACTATCACACTTTCATCATTGATAATGTTCCAGTGTTGAAAGTGAGCATGAAGAATGAAGCAAGAAGGTTCATCACATTATTAGATGCCCTCTATGAATCCAAATGTAAATTGTTCCTAAGAACCCAAGTTTCTCCAGATTCATTATTTTTCCCAGATACTTCATCAAAAGAAGAACAAGAAGAAGCAAATAGAATAAAAGTTCAAGATGAGGAAATGTTTTCCAAGACCCAAATTGCACTAACTGCACCTTATCGACCAAATGTTTCTTATTATGACGATGAAAAAATCGTTTATAATGAAACTGAAACAGCGAAAGTTGTTAAAAACTTTGACCTAAGTTCTACAAATTTCACAGATCGGAAGGCTTTCACTGGTGAAGATGAAAAATTTGCATACAAGAGAGCTGTTAGTCGTATGAAAGAAATGACAGGCTCATTACACTGGAGATTAGAAGGTAAATGGACACCAGTTGATAAATCAATGAGACCTTGGGAACGCTTGAAATCTGAACAGTTGAATGATGCTAATATAGAATTTGAAGCTATGGATAATGAACATAATGTTGTTACTGGTAGAGTTGTTCATAATGCTAGTGGAGTTTTAGCACCTGTTTTCAATGTTGTTCATTTTTGGTCAATGGGGTTATGGGGTAAAGGTAATAGACTGAAAGATGATATTGCAAGAAAATGGATTAAAGGTAATCAGCTTTAAATTTACAAAACAGTTGTTTATGATATTTATGACTATGCAAACTTGTTTATATTAAATTGTTCCCTTTCGTAACAAATATTGATAGCTTCTCTATATGCAATGGAAACACAAAATTTCATTTTTTTCCTGGACGTATAACAAAATGGTAATCTGATTTAGCAATACTGTTCTAAAGTTAGTAAGGGTTTCCTTCAAAAGGTTAATATCAATACATACAATTTCTTAGCATACCCTTCATCGCTAATAACAGCAGTTAGTATATCATCTGAATATCTATAGCCATGTAAATGTTTCAAGGCTTTAATAAGTCCAATTTTCCTTTGGAACTCAATAAGCGCTTCACGATGTACACTATTGACATGGATATCAACAACATTGACCTTCAAAGTAGCCAGTCTTAATAAAACGTCATCAATAAACCTCGATAAAAGCAGCTCAGAATTAGGTATCATTCTTAATATTAAAAACTTCGAAGTGGCATCAGCAATTTTGAAATCATGGTCTTTAGAAAACTCTTCATAAACACCTTCATGATCATTGCCATCATCATCATCAGAATCTTGCAGATCAATATATTCTTCATGATCACGAATTTCCACCACGTCATTATTGTTTTTCCTCGTTCTAGGTCTATGATCTTCTTCAATTAACTCATCTTCGGTATATGAATCGTCGTCATCGTTATCAACTTCTTGGTCAGCGTCTTCTTCATCAGTATCAATCACTTGTGATTCAGGAGCACCCTGGGTTGGCGATTTTGAAGTTGGAGTTTCATGCATATATTCAACATCCGAAGTGTTCTCTTTTTCATCCATAGCAACATCATTTTCATTTTCATTTTCATTTTCATTATCTGAGAGTATATGATGATGGTTGTCTTCAACTTTTGAAATCGGTTCTAGATCCTGTCTCACATATTGTGATGAGCTTAATATTGGAGAGTGTGACATAACAATTTCATCATCCTCTTCTTCATCATCTTCTTCTTTATTTCGAACTATCTGATATCTCTGATCAAGCATTATATCTTCCTCATCATTATCTTTGATTGCTTCAATCAATTCTTCATTAGAAATTTGTGATGGTTTCTTAGATAGCACTTCTTCAATTCTCCTCATCTTGCTTGGTGACTTACTACTCGCCGCATCTTCCTCATCACTTGATATCACATGGATATCTTTTGAAGCATCACTATTTCTACTAAATGATTTTCTGGGACTTCTGACTCTTCTCTGTTTGTTTGGATGATGTAGAATATGTGATGATGTTGTTTGTTGTGTTCTTATTGGATGAATAACTTGTTCAAATTCTTCATCAGATGAAGAGCTTTCGTCAATTGGAATCAACGTCATAAGTTCAGTCTCTAATGGAATTTCTAGAAACAACCTTCCACTCTTAACAATTGAATCATATTTGTTTTTAATACCGCTCAACCCAGCTTCATTGACATTTAACACATAACAATCCTCCTCTGTAGAAACATCAACATCACCAAAAACCCTAAAAAGCTTTGAAACATCTTCAGGCTTAAATTTCAACTTATTTTTACTCTTGTTTTTGAAAATAGCATTTATGTAAACTTTTGAAGGTTCTTTAACATAAATATCTTGACAAGTTGTGTACCTTTTGTTATAAATGTGATAATTCAAGGCAATACTTGGGTCAATTCTTAATATAAACAACAAGTAATCTTCACCATTTTTGAGGAGTTTAACATATTCCGTATTTGCATCATTTTTAGTCCGTTCTTGTACTTCTGAAACATAATCAAAACTTTTGTTTTCAACAATAACCCATCTATTATGAGTTTTTCTGTCAAATGCAATAACTGACTTTTTGAGAGCTGGGACCATGGGTTGCGGTTGTTGTGATGATAATGGAGGATGTGGTGGTGGTTGGACCTGCCGTATATTAGGACCTGTTGGGATTGAAGAAAGATCATAAGCTGAGTTTGAGTTGAAATTAGGATGGATTTCATTTCTCATAATGTAATTTTTTGGCTGAGTAGGCGTAACAACACTTTGTCTGTTGTTTCTATTAACACTTTGATAGCTTTGTATGCTATGAGGACGTTGAGGAGAATGAATATTTGGGTAATAGCTTCGACTTTCATTATCCACCCAAATTGACATTGAAGATGATGCAGAGGTTGGGAATTGATTGGGACTATGGAAAACATTTGCTGATATTTGTTCAATATCATCACCTTGTGAATTATGAAAGATCTGTACTGGTGTATGGTGATGATTTGGTTGATTGAACTGAGGATAATTGACATATGATGGATGATGCTGAGTAAATTGGTGATGCTGAAGCTGTTGAATATCGTTGTTATTATTCTCTGGGTAATACAAGTCTCTGTTTGGAGTCCTCTGTGAATTATTGGGAGGCACATAGCTGAACCTACTAGCCAGACTTGAACTTTGGCCATTGTAAAGGTGATCTGGCATTGAGTGATCAGGGGCGTTATTCATCTTGTTGACCAGCGCAAAACCGTCAACAGCACCCTCAATCCAAGTTCAATGAGCAGTGATATAGCGTAGCAACTGGAATAACCTTTGGACCTAATGAGCCGTTACCAAATTGAGAGCTCAAAGCGGTTTGATTCTTGTTGTCTTTATGAGCATTTACTCTTCAAAATTCCAAAAGGGCAAAAAACCTGATTAATGTCCCGATTAGGTAATTCTCTGTTTTGGGTGACACTTTAAATGAGCATTAAATGACACAGAAATTTAATGGTTTAAAATGGTTAAAATCATCTTAATCAGTCTAAATGCCCTTTCCCAATCATCTCATCTCTTTAAATATGAGTTTTCCGATATTATAAACATATCTCACGTGACCGTGTCCCTTAACTTTCCTTAACTATGTAACCTGCCGCTTTCCCCCATACTAAAAGCGATTTTCCCAAAAAAACCCAACCACTTGACCCAAAACTCAACCAGAAGACCTGAATTTGATGGGCTCCATGTCACATATTTAAACAGAAGTTTTACCTTAAAATTGAATAATTATCCAACCCATATAACACAACCTACATATTCTTCACTTATAACTGTGAATTTTCTCTTTTGGCCTTTTGGTGGTTCTCACTTCAGTTAATACCCGATCGTATCGATCCGATAACCAAAAAACCACAATAAACTACATTGATCCCCGAGGATAAATGATTAACTTTTGAAGTTACCAAACAATATAAAAAGCCCAATAATTATCCCATATGAACAAGAGACAATCATTATTGAAAAGAATACGATCAAAATCACCACTTAGATCATCCTCTTCATATTCTAAACGCAAAATGGTTTTAACTCCACAAAGATTAGTCCAACTATCCAAATATCCATTATTGAAAAATTCATGGTATTTTATCGCTGCTGCTACATTTTCAGTGTGTAATCAACCTAATGAAGTTGCTAGATTGGTCCATTATGCTTTAAAACAATCACAATATGAATCATCAAACAAGTCAATTATTGATCCTGTTCAATTGGCTCAAGATGCTATTGATAGAGCAGAATTAATCAAGAAATTGAATCATGAGGGAGCTATAAATGATCCAAATTATCAAAACCCGGAAAACTTGTTTTCAATTGATCCAAAGCAAAATCTTCAAACTCAATTCCATATAGCTCAAAAGACAAGAGAATCAATTTTGAAAAGTTTAGCATTAGGTGGTATTCCAAAAGCAATAAACACAATGATGTACCTTAAAAATGCAACCCCAGTTTCATTACAAGATAGTAAACCAAATAGAGATTTTGATTCTTCCAAAACTGATCAAGTAAGAGAACGTGGTATAGAATTTTGGCATCATGTTTATGGGAAAGTTAGTAACAGAATTATAAATCAAATGAATACTGCATATCCGGATCTTTGGGAGTATGCTAAGAATCACATATATTCACCATTATTATCATATAGTGATATCTTAACTCCAAAGGAAACAAGTCTTGTTATTATTGGTTGTTTAGTTCCACAAGATGTTAATCCTCAATTGAAAGGTCATTTGAAAGGTGCATTAAATAATGGAGCTACCCCTGAGGAGGTGGAACAAGCTAGGCAATTGGCTTTGAGTATTAGTGAATGGTGTGATATTAAATGGAAAGAAGATGTTGCTAAATTGAAGTTATAATTTACATAATAAATACATTTTGATATTCAGAAGGACGTAAGAATGCACATGTGTATAATATATAATTCTAACTAATACTCATCTTTTCCATCATTTTATGAGGAGATCTAATATCATTGATACCGTTTCTTGTTTTTAATTCGTTTTCGTTTTCGTCATCATCATCATCGTTATCATCATTGTTATAATTTGCATTGACTTTATGAATTGAAGGAGGTGGTGGGGTTAATGCAAATACTTTTGACTTGGATAAAGTTTCCTCTTTATTGTTTACCTTTGTACCTGCTGATTCGGGAATTGGTTGGATTATTGGATGTTGTTGTTCGGGACTTTTCAAACCACTATTTTGTAACTCTAGTCCTGAATTCCCATTTTCAACATTTTCCTCATTATGGCTATCACCATTCATTTCTTCATCACTTCTCCCATATAATTGCCACCACCAAACTAAAGATTTATAATTTGGACTTAACCAATCAAATTGATCTGTTGGTTCAACATATTGTTTATTTGTAAATTCGTGTTTCCTTGAAAGGAAATAATCCCAAACACTTCTTGTTTTGTCAAAAACTTTATTTGTAACTCTTTCATATTCATTATCGAAAAGGAAATTACCATATTGGCAAGAATATAAATGATAGATCAATCTTCTCAAGAATCTTTCATTGAATTCAAATTTATTTGGAAATTGGATAATCAATTGATAAATTGAGTCTAAAAATTGATGGAAAATTGGTGATGTAAATTTCAAATGTTTCTTCTTTTTGAAATGATTTGATACTGATTTGAAAGCTAATGAGGCTTGATTATTATTTGAACCATTTGATTCATCATGGAAAATGGATTCCGAGCTTAAATGACCAGAACGCTCATTAAATCTATGACCAAATGATAACCAATCCTTTTCAATTAATGTTATAAACCCTTGGATTGATCTATAATACGGATCAATACAAACTTGAATTAATGAAGAAATTTGTGAAGTTCTATCCCAACCATCTGAACAATGAATTAAAATATTTGAATTGTTTAAAATCATAGACTTGACTAATTTTTCAGTTGATATCAATAAAATTGAAATATATTTTAACCAATTCGTCTTTTTCAATGATGATTTATTAATTGGTGGTTTATTTAAATCACCACTTTTCAAAATATCAATCAATTTATTTAGTGAATCTCTCATTACATGAATATTATCAATACCCAAATACAATTTCTCACAGTTTGGATAATTATCCATATTTTCGGATCCTGCACCTAAAGCTGTTTGTGCCATTGCATTGGTTGTTGGTCTTGCATCAACAATCAAATTTTTCGGATTCCCATTATCATTATTTGAACTTGATTTGAAAATCTCATCAACTAATTTTTCATCTTGAATTGATCTTGTTTGCTTTAACCCTAATAAAGGTTGAGAGCATCGTGTTATTGAACATCCATTCTTTTTATAATAATAAGTTAATGCTGGTATTCTTTGTTTTGATCTATATTTTGATGCATGAGTTAAAACACTATCTGATATGGTTTTGGGGACCACGATTGTACTCGGATAAGTATCACTGAAGTTGTAATTATTGTTCACATTTGATATTCTCCAATTTGAACTTGACTGTTCCACAATTTGTGAATCATTATCAAATATTAAACCTTGCCTCTGAAACTCTTTTATTGGATCATAAATTTTCCAGGTGTTTAGAAGTTTTTCAATCGAATTGGGTTGATAAATGAATGCATAAAGTTGGTTCAATTCACCAAGACAAGTTAGTTTCATTATTGATTCAAATACATCAAAACATTTGGATTCATTTTCAAAGTCAAACGAAAGGAAATTGAAATCTTTACAATTGATCTTTAATGTGGATAACTTGAAGAGATTCAACTCTTTACCCCTTTGGTTGAACAGCTTTGGTAAGCTCTTAATTATTTTAGATTGAATTTCATTGCCTTCATTATCATTTATATCAACATTAATATCAATCAAATTCAAAAGCGCTGACCCCTTTTTCCTTTCAACTGATGAAATCATTGGATAACAAAGCCATAGCTCCCGCAGCTCATTTGGACGAGGATTAGTGACTGTGAATATAAGGTGATGAGTGGTTAGATGTAGTGAACCATGTATGATATAACCTCTTTTATGAAGTAAAACATCATCAACCTGTCATAAAAAGAATTGTTAGCAAATCGAAAAGGATCTAATCAGAAGCAAAATAAAAACAGTTCAACATGATAACTCTTGAACTCAAGACATACTCTCGCCACCTTGATGTATTCCATGATGTGGCTAATCGATTTGAGATTCTTTCCAGAATTATTGGGCACGATTCAATTAAAAACACCGACTATGATTATCATTGTTGTTACAAATCTCCAGTAAAAATGTCCAGAACCGAGCACTTTTCCACGTGATCGCGAATTTTACTTGTAATACGAGGGTCATCTGCAATATTTCCGTTTTGGGAAGTCTACGCATCCAATTTGTAATATCAGCTGCACGTTACTTTGGTGACACAAAAAAGTTGAAACTGATATAAGTGTTGGGATACGGTGGATACGGTGTTGTAATAGGTGGAGGAAAGTATGGAAGGATCCTTGTTTTATGTTTTGTGTTTAGTGCTTGGACAGGTTTCATGTTTGCTCATATTACAGTCAAGCTAGCCCATTTCTTTATTTCTCTTTGTGTCTAGATTCTGATACAAATATGTATCAATCCGGTTGGCTATTTTAGTCAAGCCGTTAAAGGTAATTCCACGTCTTTTAGAAATGAACCTTTCATAAAGCAAGAATGAAGTGGTCAATTGAGCTCTTTGTTTAATTGAATGAGCCTGGTCTGGATTATCTCTATACTAGACAATTCCTATATTCAACTTGATTTGACTGTCCTCCTTTCTGGCTGCCCACTTTTAGTCATTTCGTCGTTGCATTTGTTCATAATTTGGTACGTCTCGAAAGTGTCTGATTAGGAAATATTCCTTTTTAATAAGCTGTGTAGATTCAAGCATTTCTGATTATAATTGACTGATTGGTTAATCGTATAAAAACCACTCGCAATCCTAGTGCATCAACTTAACCTTCACCTTCACCTTCAACAACATCTTTAACCAAACATCAATTACAACAACTACGCAACGTGATCACCATGGGGTTACGCTATTCAACTCATATCGACTCTGATGGGAAAACAGCCATCACATATGGCTGTTGCTATTGCAGAACCCACCTTTCATCCTCCAGCCTAATCATGTCAAAGGACTATAGAGGCAGAACTGGTGATGCTTTCCTTATGGAAAAAGTGTAAGTTCATGATCATTAGCCGCCAAATGGTATCACTAACTCAGCTTCCTAGCGTCAACATCGTTCAAGGTACAAAGCAATTACGTGATATGATGACTGGTAAATATTTGGTTAGTGATATCCGCTGTCACCAATGTGGTAACCTTGTTGGTTGGAAGTACCATCATAGTGAAGTCAAGAACCAGAAGTATAAGGAAGGGAAATACATTCTTGAACTTCAGACTATAGTGAGATGTAAATGAAATTGTTCATTTATCTCTCAAATCATTTGACTATTATATATTAATAGTCAATTTCAAGCTTAGGCTCATGATCTTCAATTCTTCATCAATTATCGATGGTTTTTATCATTTTTTTACATTTATATTATAGGTTTTTTATTCATTAATGGTTATGGTGGTTATGGCGGTTATTATGGTTTCATGGTTTTAATTATATGGTTTTCTAGAATATTACAACAAATATGGTCAATGATTTTTCTATTTAAACGGCGGCACACTATTCAAATTAGTTACTTTAAACTAATAAGGATCTTTTAGGCAAGGTCTTTATCGTTCAAAGTGTTTTGGATTGTGGGTATTCATCTGTTGTCGTCACTCTGGCCTAGATGGAGTTAGCGTTTATTGTATACCCCTTTTATATATAGTGCTACAGTACACGAAAAATTAAACAAATTAGACATGATATAGATCTTTAAAGTTCTATTTAAACACGCATTTGAGATTACTGTCTTTTCTCAATCTCCTAGCCAGATGATTTCAAAATATTTCAATTGTCAATCTGGAACTAGTAGAAAGATGAAATAAAACAAATCACGGTGTCCATAGACCATGATAATCAGGCTGGCACTTTATGAGTAGAGCTGACATGCCAAATTCGCAGAAAGTTCCTAACTCAAATTAATTACTGGACGTGTAAAGTTTAAAATGGTGAAAGAATTGTAGTGAAAGAAAAATGTTATACCTATATTTCAAAAGCCGGGATGTCACGGCTGAACCTGTTATTGAAAGTCGCGACCTCTGCCGGGGCCAGCTGGAAGCTCAAATATCACACAAATAAATATAGCTCTGAATTTTACCAAATTTTTATTTAATTATTATTGAAATGCAGTACTATTGATATTTACCTAATTTTTCAAGCTATAATAACTACTCATGAAATTAATTATATAATTTTTCTAACAAAATAGATTCTTGACCTTTAATTTCTAATTTCTGATTTCAAAATGCCAAAGTCAAAATTTCTAATTTTTTAAAATTGCTTAAAATTTATATCAGTTTAAAGCGGAAATTTAAAGGAGCTTAATTATCTAAGTTGGAGCTTATTTTGATAAAAGAATTGGTAAATAATTGCAATAGAAATTCATATAAAATTTTGTTGACGGGCGTGCCCTTATCAACGATTCTGTTTTGATGAAAATTGAAAATGAAAACAAAGCATTAATTAATTGAATCATTCAAAGTAAGAAGCTAGTTTGAGTTCAAAAATGGATGTTGAAGAGAATGTTGAAGACTTCTTGGAAAGGGTCAAGCAACTTGATCTTCAAAGACAGAAAGAAGATGAGATGAGGAGAAAACAGTTGGAAAATGAAATTCAATCCTATACCAATAGGGAATCAGTCTACAACATTTCCATCCCTAAACCAATTGCTAGAGAAGAAGAACCTGCTACTAAAGCAACAATCCCAAACTCAGAGTCATTACAGAATTTTAACAAAAGTATATCAACCCAATATAGAATTGATATAGATGATTTGGTTTATGAATCTGCTTACAATTATGAAAAATCCCAAAACTCTTCACCAGTTAAAAATAGCTTTAACTCATACAATAGAAATGACGACTCAAGCTTTAGAGCTTCAACTGGCTCAATCTCTAGAGAAAAGACTTTCAAAAAGTATGATAACATACCAGATATAGTAAGGTTCGATGATGCTATGGCTAAATCAGCTCCAAACTATAGAACCTCAAACTTTACCTCCTCTAGACCAAGTCGATATTCAAAATTCCAACTTACTGATGAAGAAAAGAAGTCAATCGATAGTACAATTGAAGGACTCATCGGCGGTGATCATAAAGTTACAGAAGTGCAAGATGAAAACGAGCAGGATGAAAGAAGAATCCCAAAACCATTAACAAGAGATAGAAAAGGTGGTCAATTTTCAACACCTTCAACACCTCAATTACAATCAAACAACGTCTGGTCAAATGCTGCTAAGCAAAAATCAACGTTAGCACCACCTGTCAGTTTATCTAATCAGACATCACACTTGAAAAGATCACCAAGAAAAACAGAATTAGTTACTTCTCCAATAAGGCCTGAAATAAGCTCCCCTATTAAAAAATCCCCAGCCAAATTAGATTTTTCAAGATACACAAGTGAAGATAAACATAAACCACCACCTATTGCTCCAAAACCTCTTGGGTTCAAAGAGACTAAAAATTCATGGCTAGGCTCAGCTGTTAATAATTCTTCATCAACTCCGCAATGGCAAGACACAACTTCCAAGATTCAATTGAACAAACCAGAAGATAAGAAAGCTTCGTGGTTGAATTCTGCTTATAAGCATTCAACATCAAATCCTCAATGGCAAGACACAACTCCAAATTTGCAATTGGATAATGCCAATACATCTGATCCAAAGACTTCTTGGTTAAATTCTGCTATGCAAAGAACTTCACATAAAGAGTTTGAACTGCCTAAATCTAAGATAAAACCAATAGTTCCATCCAAATCAAATACCTTATCAAAGATGATTGAGAATGATGAATTGTCAAAACAGAAACAACATTCAACTTTAAAAGAATTGGAATCTCAAAAACTGAACCATATAAACAGTCCAAATAGACCTATCCCACAACTTTCACATGAATTGAACTATTCTCCAACGATCTTGAAGAAGACAAGAACACCATCACCAATAAGGCAAGATATTCAAGAAGAACCTGATTTTATCAAGCAAAGACTTTCACCAACTCCTAATCCAGCTTCATTATCAGCATCTCATCAAATTGATGCCGAGGCTTTGGCTTATAAGTCTAAATTGAAACCACCACTACCACAACGTAAACCATCATTAGATCTTCCAGAAGCCTTGAAAAAAGCTGATAAATTAAAACCAGCACTCCCAAAACGTAAACCTTCAATCAAGATCCCTGAAGCATTATCACAAAAGGAGCAACTACGTCAACCAACAAAGATGGAAAAAGTGGGAGAACCAACACCAGAAGCCATGAGTAAAAAAACTCAGTTAAAACCAGCGTTACCTAAAAGAAAACCATCATTAAAAGAAGTTGAAGCATTAGAGCAATTGCAAAGAATGAAATCTAAAACTTCATCTAAACAACCACCACCAATAACAAGATCCAAACCAAGAGTTTTCAGTAATTCTAAAGAGATTTTACAAAATCAATTGGGATCTTTAAAGTCAACAAAAAATCTACAAAAAGATGAAGCTTCATTAAATTTAGACCGGATTTTGAAAAAAGCTACTACTGATACCGACATGAAATCTGTTAGGTTACCATTCATGACCCAAGAAAATGAATTCCCAATGATTAAAAAGGTTTCAACTTTTGATGTTGGTGACTTGAAGAAAAAAGCAGATGCAAATGAGAAGCCTGCTGAAAATTTAGAGCATTTGACAAAGAAGAGAACCAAAGGACCAAAGAGAAGAGCACCAAAACAGAAGTAGATAATTATAGAGTGTTATAGATGATTAATGATAAGTGTATGAAAACTACGTAGTTTTTCCTTCTGAGAGTTAGTTTAATAGTACACACAAAAATAAACAAGAAAAGTATAAAAAAACGACATAAAAAACAATTTAAAAACCACAAAACATACATAATCAAAGAACTGAAATATCAATTCAACATCTCAATTCCAATATAAAACAAAAAACACCATGTATCATGAGAAATTCATCTCTTACGTTTTCTTGGATCAACAACTTGAGCACCACGACTACTTGACACAACTTCTCTTTTCTTCAATGCTTCTTGAGCCTTCTCCTCTTCAGGATGTTGTAAAACTTCATCTGCAAAACTTTCAGGAGGTGAAGCAACTAGCATTTCATCAGCTTCTGCATCAACAGTAAAAGCATCTGGTGGATATGCAGTGTGGCCATTGTAATAATCACCATAATATGCTCCGTCTGGTTGTGAAGGATAACCTTGTGGAGGTGGAGGATAATAACCACCTTGATAATGACGTGGTGGCTGAGGTTGAGGTGGATAGTAACCTCTTGGAGGAGGTGGGCGATATGGTTGATACCCTGAGTACGCGCGTGGTGGTTGATAATGAGGTGGATAGTATGGATGTTGAGGTTGAGGTGGATAGTTGTTGTATCTTCCTTGTTGTTGTGCAAGAGGCTGTTGGCCAGTTGCAGCAGGTTCTCCAGAATTTGGCTGCTGATGTGGTTGAGGTGGTGGGATTGGTGGTTGGTAACCTGGGTCTGGATAGTATTGATCACCATAATATCCATACTGATCATGTTCACCATAATATCCTTGTTGAGTCCAGCCATTAGGATATTGATAAGGTTGTGCATTGGCTTGCTCATGATCTTCTTCAGCTAAAACTAATTCATTTCCAGTTGGAGTAAAGTTCTCTGGAGCACCAGGTGAGGAATAGTAAGTTTCAGTAGTTTGTGTTGGACCTTTTCTTTTACTTTTTTTCAAATTGTAAACTGTTGGCTGTGGACTGCTGATTTTTGAGGTTGGTTTGGTAGTATTTGTCATCTTTTCAGATAATGATTTATTAACAACAGTATCTTTTCTCTTGCTAAACACAGATGCTTTCTTCTGTAATGGTTGGTAACGTTCTTTTGATTCCCTAGATCTTGGAACACCAATCGGAGATTCTGGTTCTTTTTTAACATTCTGTGTGCTAACTGGTCTCTTTTTAATTTCAAACTTAGGAAGTTCAGCAGAATCATCAGAAGAAATATCTTCAGCATCCTCCACAGGAGGTTTGACCTTTTCATTGATCTTGGCACTTGGAATATCTTCTTCACTATCAGTATCAATGATAAGTTTTCTTCTTTTTGGTGGAAGTGCGGCTTTGCTTGTTGGTTTGGTTGTTTTGGTACGTTTCTTAGAATTATCAGAAACAGTAGCTGATGATGCCACAAAGGGTTTTGGTTTTGGTTTTGCCTTTGTTATTGGTTTGGAAGTTGCCTTAGGAGCTGGTTCTGGTGCCTTCTTTGGAAGTTCAACAACTTCATCTGGAATTCCTGTCTTTCCAAATTTTTTGTTATAGTCAGCGATCCTATCATAAGCTTCATCTTTATGGCCTGGTGGAGCCATACTTATGGAAAGCGTACTTCTCAGTGACTTTGGAACTTCAAAATCATGGGCAAACCCCAGTAAACTTCTTCTGGTTGTACGCATTTGGGTGTTTTCTCTACTATTTCTTTCAGGTGATTTAGGTTGAGATGGTGCTACCTTTTTTGGTGGTGAAGGTTTCTTTGTAGGTGCAGCTTTCTTTTCAACTTTCTTTTCAGCTTTCTTTGGCTGTGTATCTTCAACAACAGCAGCTTTCATTTGCACACCAGGTGTGTATTTTGCACTTGCATTTGGTTTAGGTTTTGGCTTTGGTTTAGGTTCTTCCTTCACAGGTTCAGGTTCAGGTTCAGGTTCAGAACTACTTTGATCATTATTGATGGCATCTAATAAACGACTACCCAACATTGTATCAGAATCTTCAAGTTCAGAGTCAGAAGAAATATATCCCAAGGGTGGACTGTCAGCTCTTGTTGTTGCCTTGACAGGTTTCGACACAGGCTTTGAGACTTGTTTAGAAATTGGTTCATCAATTGATTCATCATCTGAATCAGCATCAGCATCAGCTCTTTTACCAATAAAACCACGACAGATTTTAGAGCCACAATAACATTTTTGAGGTTCTGCATTTTCGAACCATTCAAAATTATAATCATAAGTAACTTCTTCACCAGCTTCAATTGGTCTTTTAGCAAACAGCCCGATTCTTGGTTCATTGTTAACATACCATTTTTGCATTTCAGAATTTGGATCACAAGAATGATTAGCAAATCTGGCAACAGAACCTTTTTGACCAGCATCAATAACATAGTTACCTTCTAAACCAAGAAAATAGTAGTTTTCAACATCTTTATAGAAAGTGTTTAGCCTATGCTCCACTTCGTCCAGATCAATAACTTCACCAGTGTATTCAACAACCAGGGAACCTGGATTATAGGTTCTCACCGAGAACAATCCACAGCCTTTTTTCTCAGTTTCAATAACTTCATAGGCAGTCGCATATTTTTTGCGTTCATGATAGTCATTCACCAAGTCAGTGAATGCTCTATTTCCACAATCCTGAGAACCAAAGTTACAGTTATATGGTGAACACTCATATTGTAGAGTACGATTGATACAACGGTTTCCACAACCGGACCCTGTACAGTGACACATGCTGAATGTTGGTCTTTTGTCTTTGAAAGGGTTTTCAACCAACCATTGGTTACGTTTCAAGTTGTGTTTCCATTTGACCATGTTTCTTTCACCAGCAACAGTTGGACAATAAATGTTCCAGGGAAGTTCAAAATCAGTAGCGGTATTTAAACTCTTCAAACCAACACCTTGAGGTAAAGGAAATTGAAATTTGGCCCTTTTACCAGTAATAGGAGCTTGATGTAAACCTGACAAAACCCATAGCTTACCATCTAGTTTGAAGCCAGCGACTTCTTCATGGACTTTAACATCATCTTCATCTGATAATGTGGACAAAACTCTCCCCTTTCCATCGAAACGTTCATACAGGATTTCAATATCATCAATATCTTGTTCAGTATAACGCTTCCATTCAGCACAATCTTGAACAGCATCCAGCAACAGAGAGTCATCAAAATCTTGGATTATTGAATTGGTGAAAAAGTCTGAAATTTGATTCCAGGAGTTCTTCTTAGCTGAACGTCTTGAGGTTCTATGGGCAAAGAAATGGACAGGTTCTGTAAGACCCAGCTCTGTTTCAATCAAAGCCATGTTTCAAGAATCTCAGAACACTGCAAATTGATTAAAAAAGACCGTTTCTAGTTAGCGAATTTCCTTTTATTGTTGATTTTTGAAGTCGAGAACGCGAGGGCTAGGAAACAGGCAACAAACTAGGCAAAAAACTTGATAAATAACGGTCCAGCAAGCGGTATGATGTGGCAGGTTAGCTTTGAGTGACTTTTGGCTTTTGATGGTGGTCAATTCCTTGGTTGTGGAGGGTTTTCACTTGGATGATTTGTTTATATTCGGGGATGTTTTGTTTTTGAAAATGCTGCGAACGATTTTGTTCTGTTTGGGCCAAAGAATTGCACACGAAAAAAATCTAAAACGCCATGACAACCAGAATTGAATAACTCGTTATTACGACAGAACAAGCCAGGAAAACATAATAATTGATGCAAATTCTCGAGAAATTAGGGTCTAGAAACCACTGTGATCATTTTAAAGTACGTTTCTAAGGTATTTACTTCTCTAAAAGGTTAGTTACACCAAAAAAATTAAAGTGAAAACATCTATTTACATTAAAAACCATTAAAACCAGTATATGCTGGCTATTATTTGCACCGTTAATCATACGGAATACATAAGAGCCCCCTCCATTTATCATTTTTGTCTTGATAACAAAAATAAATCCTCTAGAACAACGTAAAACGGTAAACCTGAAAGAATATAACCACCTTACCAAACACCTCTCTTCACACCAGGCAAATCACCATTTCTAGCCTTTTCTCTAAATTGGGTCTGAAATTAAAACTGTTAGTAATTATACTCCTGTGTTAACATTGAATAGATTAACTTACTCTACATAGACGGAAATCTTTAATGACAGATTTAGCAGAACCACTAGCAACACAACGGTCTTTAATTTGAGTCATTCTAGTGTAGTTTGGCATAGTGGTTAGTTGTAACTGTGCCTCTAGTCTGGCTCTTGGTGGTAATTGTGTGTTTCTTGCAATATATTTCAAAGCTTGTATAGTGACTTCATGTTCAGCAGCTTGTAGACGTTTGAAATGATCACGCAGGACCATATGGTTGATGTATGATGTTGGAAGTTTGAACTTCACTGGGAAACGGAAATTACCCATCTTAATTAAGTCTATGATAGATGAACAAGTCAAACTGATCAATTCAAATGCTCCTGTTTCTTCAAACGTTCACCAATTTTTTTCATCCTCTTGAGAAATCGCGAAATGCTTACATAAGATTCTGGTTGAAAACCCGCGAATTTTGGTTGTTATAAGTTGACCTGGTGATATTTGAGTCCTCAGATGTGTTAGGTGTTGAAACAATGGAGAATTGGTGCTGATAATGCTGATTTTGGTATGGTGAAGGTTTTGGTGCTGTGCTGATGTTGTTTTAGTGTGCTTGTGTTTTGGGTGGTGGTGCTGCTTTAGGTTTCGAATTGAAAACATACGGGCCTTGAATCTGTTTCGAAAATGTTATAGATCATTTTTTGGTGTCGGCAAGGTGAAAATCTCGTCAACCAAAACAATTTAAATTATTTTAAAGAGCTTTTATCCTGCGTTTTTGATAAAATTCGAATTTGCATTATCTGCAGCTTTTTAATCTTTATAAAGATAACATTTTCCTGGTTTTATTATTTTCATTATGGTTCTTATTTCTACTCAATCACGTTTTATTGAAATGAGAGTCTCTAGACAATTAGCCAAACAATTGACTAACGTTAGAAAACTTTATGGCAGCTCAGCTGCTAAGTCTGCTTATGGTTCTTTTGATAAAAAAGCCCATGATTCGTCAGCCTCTGATTTTGATGAATCAAAACATTTTTTAACTTATTTTAAAACAGGTGGTGCTAAAGTCTACAGTCAAGCTGAGTTGATTAAAGCAGTTAATGAAATAACTGGTACTGTTATTAAACCTTTTAATTCTGCTGCTGAAGCTCAAGAACATCTGGCTTCAAATCCTCCTCAAGTTAAATCTGAGATCTTGCAAAGAGTTTTGGATTTAAACCAGGAAGATGTTATTCGTCAACAACGTGAAAGTGGTGTTGTCAAATTATATACCAATGCTTTTAATAAGAGAGTCAGTCAATATTCTTTTACTGGTTATTCAGTTTTTGCTGAAGATAATTCAATTGTTATCTCTGAGTCAATTGAAAAAAAGACTAAAAAAAGTTTAGAGAAAGCTCACTTGGAAGCTGTTTATCATGCTTCTTTGGCCATTTATGATCAAATCATGGATTTGAAAACTGGTGAGCCACCAACTGCTGTTGGTAAATATGAGATTTGGACTTCAGCTCCTCAAATTCATTTGTATCTTTCAAGAGTCGAAAAGAATGAAGAAAAATGGATGAAGTCCCTTGAACCTGAGGATCTTGAAAGTTTGAAAAGACTTTTGTTCATTAGAGATTTCTATAAAGCAAATGCTGATTTATTTGAAGGTTTTGAATTCAAAATTGTTTCAATTGGTGATATGGATCTTCGTTCTGATAAAATGTTTATTGAATCCAAGAGATTAGCTGTTGACGGAGCTGCTGATGGTGCTCCAGGAAACTTAAGACACAAAGTTTTTGATTGAAAGTTTTTATGTACTGCGAGGAGACAAAGCTCCTGGCACTTTTTTTTTAAATCCAAATATGTATATGCCCAAGTAATAAAACATCGAGTTCTGTATTATAAACTTTGTTAGGATTTTACCGTACATATGTTTCGCGAAACCACATGAAAGCAAAATGTGATAGATCACATTTTCTGATTGTTTCGAAGACCAAACAACCATTTGAAGAATTTATAACTTCATTTCTTCTTTGTTGCTCTGAATAGCTCGTTACTGCTCTTTGATTTGTGCTTTACATAGCTGGTTTGATAAACAAAGAGCCCACTATAAATAATATAATCACAATTCCAAGACTACGATCAAAATTATTGCAAATGGCTAAGCAAGCCTTTTATGCTGTACAAAAAGGTAAAGCCCCAGGTGTTTACAAGACTTGGGATGAATGTAAGGCTCAAGTAATTGGGTTTAGTGGTGCTATATATAAGAAGTTTAATTCTATTGGAGATGCTCAACATTTCATTAATGGTAGTATTCTGTCTCATACAAAAAGTCCGGGTGGTGATTTGAATTTTGCATCGAATGCAATGAAGTCTAACTCCAAAAAGGCATTCTATGCTGTCGCCAAGGGTCAAAAGACTGGTATTTATGATTCTTGGGATAGATGTAAAGCTCAAGTTTCAGATTATGAAGGTGCAAAATTTAAGAAGTTTGATACTCAACATGAGGCTAAAGATTTTATAGAGAAAAACAAAGAAACTGGCTCTATTTCCAAAACAGAAGCTGGTAGAAAGTTGGCCCAAGCAAAAGAGAAAACAAGCTATTATGGAATTGTTTACAAAAATGGAGAGTCAAAGATTGTAAAGACATGGGCTGAATGTGCAAAGGCAACAAAAGGTATACAAGGTGCAGCATTCAAAAGATTCAACAGTTTGAAAGATGCTGAAGCCTTTGTCAGTCAAGGAGAAAATGGGCAACCACCATTATCACCAAATTCAAGAGAAGTTCGCACTAAATTGTTTCTAGAACATAATTCTAAGCAACTTCTCAAAGAACAACAATCATTGAAACCTCAGATTATATTCTGTGATGGATCATTTATACCACAAAGGTCTGGGAAAGATAAAGCTGGGTTTGGTGTATATTATGGTCCTGGTGATTCACGTAACGTTGCTGTTCCAATAACTACTGAACCAAAGAACAGTTTTATTTCAGAAGTGAAGGCCACTGCCCATGTCTTGAAACAAATTTGCAAAGAAATCGACCGTTATAAAAAAGAAGATTTAGAAATCATACCCAAATATTCCATTTCTTCTGATTCTGAGACGGTGAAAAACATTTTACATCAATATGCTGATACTTGGACCGATAAAGATTATGAAAAGCATAGAGAAGTGCCTGAACTTAAAGAGATGGTACATGATTACAAAAAAGTACGGAGCTTTTACAATGATAACTCACCAATATTTGATGACCACAAGTTTGGAATCACTTGGGTTAAAGGCCATGTTGGTATTGAAGGGAATGAGCAAGCTGATAGGTTAGCTAGAGAAGGTGCTGAACAGTCTATAAGGTACTAGTTAAATGGCAACTTTTTTGTATGTATGTACAAAATTCTAATGTTATTAATGACGTGATTCTATTTCCAATAAATAAAGAGTGTAAATGATTCTAGTACAATGGTGCTTCTTCTTCTTTGACCCACAATTTTTTGATCAAGTTGGTCAAACCGACATCAGTGGTTTCCATTTCATAAATACCATATAACCCAACTGTAGTACCAAGAGTCAAAAGATACCTAGCGAATTTATGCCATATACCATATACTCTTTTTGGAATATAATCAATAATACAAGATGTGAACCCAATATGAGCATGCAACAAGATAGTTGTGGATAAAATAGCATCCAGCACAGGATAATCAACAGTAGCAATAAATGGGGTGACAGCTAGTGGAACCATGGTTATAGCAAGTAGTCTCTCATAACTCCAATGGTAAGAACCATGGAAGTAATCTATTTCACCTTGTGGAGTGGCTTCGTTGACAGTACCCACAATATACCCAGCTGGTTGTTCGATAAGTTTGTATTTGTCAAAGTTTGGTTTGAGAGAAATGAATCTCTTTGTAAGCTGTTGAGTCGCCTGTATTCTAGAGCATCTGAATCCTGGTCTAAGCATCGTGAATGTAGCGTTTAGCAGTCTAAAAACGCAATTATTGATCAGATAATCTATATCGATGAGGTTTAAAAAAAAAAATATACGCAGTGGCCCTACCACTATTCAGCGTGCCCTGCTCCAAAAATGTGGCCCTTTTCCAAAGTTTTGTCTTTTTTCCAATTCGCATTTTTTTATTGGCTGCGAGTTTCACCAAATCGTTTTTCAAGTATTTTCAATTGAATTGTTTTCTGTAGAACCATCATCGAGATTCCACAACCATCATCCATCAACTACAGTCTGTGTCTGTCTGCTTAGATCTTGCTGATTCTGATCCCCCTTGCTCTCCTCAAAGACCACACTACTAGAAGATGCTCAGCTCCTCAGCCATCCGTACTACTGCTAAGCGCTCAATTGCCTTGAGACGTTCAATTGCAACTGGCCATGGTAAAACTCAATACACTTCATTGAAAAATGGTGTCACCGTTGCCACTGAAGCCAACTCAGATGCCAAATCAGCCACTTTAGGTTTATACTTTGGTGCTGGTTCCACCGCTGAAAACCCATACAACAATGGTGTTTCCACTTTATTGAACAAAGTTATTGTTAACGAAAACCAAACTGAAGCTTTAACCAACGGTTTCAAATTAGGTGCTGAAACCTCAAGAGATTTCGTTGCTTACCACACTCAAGGTTTGAAACAATCATTACCAAAAGCTTTAGATTTATTAAATGCTAAAGTTGCTCAAGCTGAATTCAAAGCTGATTCAGTTTTAAAACAACGTGAAATTGCTGCTAAAGAAGCTGAATATTTCGAAGAAAACAACCATGCTGGTAGAGTCTTACAACATTTACATGCCACTGCTTTCCAAAACACTCCATTAGCTTTACCAACCATTGGTACTGTTGAAACTTTATCAAGTCTTGTAGACTATGATTTAACTTCATTCCACAAAAAGCAGTACGTTGCTTCAAATGCTGTTGTTGTTGCTACTGGTGATGTTAACCATCAAGAAATTGTTGATTTAGTTGAAAAGAAATTAAACATTCAAGCTGGTGAAGCTCCAGAAATCAGAAAACCACAATTCTTGGGTTCAGAAGTTAGATTAAGAGATGATACTTTACCAAAAGCTTGGATTTCTATTGCTCAAAAGGGTGAAGCTTTAAACTCTCCACATTACTACACTGCTAAAGTTGCTGCTCAAATCTTTGGTGACTACAACTACCATGAACCAATCTCAAGACACTTGGGTGTTAAATTAACTGGTATTGTTAACGAAAACCATTTGGCTGATACCTGGAACCATTTCTCATTATCATACAAAGATGCTGGTTTATGGGGTTTCCAAACTCAAATCTCAAACATTGATCAAATTGATGATTTAGTTCATTTCACTTTAAGAGAATGGAACAGATTAACCATCTCAATCAGTGAAACCGAAGTTGCTAGAGGTAAACAATTATTGAAAAACAACATCTTGTTTGAATTATCATCTCCATTAGCTGTCGCCAACGATATTGGTGCTAAAGTTATTGCTCAAGGTAGAAGACCATCAGCTGAAGAAATCTTTGCTCAAATTGATAAAGTTAACGTTGCTTCAATTAAAGCTTGGGCTGGTGAAAAATTATGGGATCAAGATGTTGTTGTTGCTGGTACTGGTCAAATCGAAGATTTACTCGATTACAACAGAATCAGAAACGATACTTCAATGTTGAGATGGTAGATTTAATCATAAAATATCATGGGAATAATAAAGACAGGAATCAAAAATTAAGACAAAAAAAATAAAAAAAGTTACTTATAATATTCTAATATTCAAATCTGTAATTACAATCCAACAAGATATACAAGATAAAATCAATCAGCAATATAAAAAAAACATTTAAACAAAACATCATCAAGGTATTATCATGTTCTCCATAACTTGTGTGATTTATCATTTTCATCAATTATAAACTATTTATGTGTGTTCTTTTTATTATTTTGGGGGAGATTTAGACGGAGTTTGTTACAATTTATTGAAAAAGAAATGAAGTAACGTTTGTATATAATACATTTATTCAAGAAACAAATTCTAATTTTATTCTCCAATATAATTCAAGAACCTTTTGAAACGTCGAAGTCATTTTTTTTTATATTATTATCAAATTTTTTCCATATGCAAACGATATTCGAATAGAATTCATTAAAAATCAAAGCTAAAATTGTAGCATTGTAGTTACTTAGTCAAGATCCATCTTATCCTCCTCTAATGTTGTGTTTATATCCATCTTGTCTTCATCTAATGTCTCATCGGCTTCAATTAGGCTCACATCAGGTTCTGCTTTAGTAGGTTCCTCTAAATCTTTTTTATCCTTCGGACTGTCAGACTCATCCTCCTTTTTCTCTGTATCTCTTTCATCTTCATCCTTTTGTTGTTTAGCTTCAGCTCTTTCTTCTTCCTCATTTTTATCCTTTTCAGTTTCCTTCCCAGCATGAACCTCTTCCTCAACTGAATCCTCACTTGGCTTGTGTTTCTTCTCTGGCGATTCTTTGGATTCTTCCAGCGTTCTTTTCTTTTGCTCTCCATCCAGTGGTTGTTCATCATGATCATATTCCTCATTCAAAGGTGCATCATTTATTGGATACTCTTCGATTAAATAATGTTCACTTTCAATCTCCTTGATATCATCTTCAGTTAACCATGGTATCTTTGTTAAGAAGATGGTATCAGTCTCATCATTTCCTATCGATATAGGTAGTGTATTTTCACCAAATTCATGATTTTTCAAGCTGTTGTGACCATTGACTTCAAATGTAGTTTCTGGGAATTCAGCAATTGATGATGAAACCTGTATCACATTCTCTAATGCCCTCAAGAACTTCTCAGCCGTATGATAATGCTTTCTAGGAGAATATAGAATCTCTGATAACCTTACAATTGTAAATGGTGGATTATCTGGGAATACTTTGGTTAAATGTTCAGTTAAGCGGTTTGAAAATGATTCTAATGATTCTGTATGGTTTGAATCTAAAGGATCTTTTATTGTTGTTGTGATTGGCTTTTCATAGAATTCTGTTATAATTGTATGGATCAATGTCGGTATTTCTGTCCGTATGTCTTTCCATAAACTTTCATGATCTTTTGGAAATATTCTTTCACGTATTATTGTTTCTAGTTCTTTATTCACTGTTGAGAAAAGTTAGTGACACTAATACCCATTGTATGTCTTATATTAATACTAACAATCAAATTTTGGTTCACTCATAGCGTTTATAGAGCTCTATCAGCATCAATCTTCCCATAAATATACCTAAGTTCCTCTGATAATCAAAATATAAACAATAGATCTTGTGCAATTGTAGACTCGCGACTCGCGTTCTGTATGATCGAATTTCGCGAACTTTTTGAGCAGGGTAAATATCGCGAAAATTATACGTCGTAGTCTTTGGAGCTGGATTTTTTTCTTTGAGAAAAGTGAAAAATTAACGATTCGATTAATAGAGGTCAACACCTTCAACAACAGATCTTGGAACCTTTGAAGGAAATATATAAAGATGTTAAGATCTGTGCTGAGACTACCTGTTTCTAACAGTGTGAATACATTGCTACCAGCTAGATTGGCCTGCTCAGCTATTAGATTCAACAGTTCTACTTCCAAAACTCAAATACCTGAATCATCAGCCAAACAACAAATACCACAAAGCAAGGAGGCCGATGAAATTGCAGATGAGTGGATTCGTACTATCCAAAGAATGAGAGAAGAAATTAGAGCTGAAGGTTTCACTAAAGTGGAGACACCAAAATCAGAATATATGGAAAAATTTGGTATTGAACCAACTCCAGAACAAATTGCCAAAGCTGAAAGTTTAGCAGAAAAGCCAATACCTTTAAAGAAAGATCCAATTGTTGATCATTGTACAAATATGATTATGAAGGATGGTAAAAAATCTAGAGCTCAAAAAGTGATGGGCCAAGCTTTATATATTGTCAGATTACAACTAAGAAAAGACCCAGTTGAAGTATTGAGAGAAATTTTAGAAAAAATGGCACCATTGATGGCCATTAGAACACACAAGACCCGTGCTGCTAAGTCTGTTGTTTTACCAGTTCCATTAACCGAAAGACAACGTCATAGAACTGCGTTTTTATGGATTCTAGAAGGTGCTGAGAAAAGACGTTCTCCTGATTTATCAGTGAGATTAGGTGAAGAATTGATTGCAGCATATGAAGGAAAATCTTCTGGTTATGAAAAAAGATTACAAATTCATAAAACTGCCATGTTACAGAGAGCTTACGTTAAATTGAAATGAGGTGTGTTGTTTTGGTGAAGTTGTACAAAGTCATGTAAATAAAGCATATATGTATTTATCTTTTATGGGAAGAATTTGGATGTAGACACGGTAGTACATTTAAATGTCTTGGATGATTTGGTTTATTTGACACTTTCCTCATTCCAACTAAGTCCAATTGTTTACGAAAAGATCCACAATTCGAGGATGGCTCGAAAACATCATGAGGACAAACTCCACAGTTTATAAGCTGGAAAGCCTCACTAATGTTTGAATCATAAAGAAAAAGCCATGAATTTTAATTTGTAATAAATTCATCCAATCGAAAAGCTCAATTGGAGTTCGACTTAATTCGTCAAATTGGCAATTTCAAGGTTTAGTTCCGTTCGCATTAGGAGCACATCATTGATTCCTTCATAGATAAGCCTGCAAACGGTATTAATATAAAAATCGGGAGCCTCGCCCATAAACTTTTCGGCTTCTTCTTCAAGATCAATTGTCTCAATTTATCAGCATAATGACAGTCAAACAAGTTAATACTCCATCATTCAAACTACCAAATGGTGATATTCCAGCAATTGGCTACGGAACAGGTACTAAATGGCAACATCTTAAAAAAGGTAGAGCTGAAGACATCAGAACAACATTGGATGAAAACTTATCCAATGCTATTAGTCAAGCCATCAAGTTAGGTGTTACTCATATTGATACTGCTGAAATTTACACCACACATATCGAAGTTGCTCACGGTATTAAACAATCAGGTATTGAAAGATCTAAAATCTGGATCACCGATAAGTATTCCCCAGGTTATGGTAGTTTCCCAGCACCTAGTAAGACCCCATATGAAGCCATCAAGACGGCCTTGAGAGAACTGGAGGTGGAGTACATTGACTTATATCTCATACACGCACAATTTTTCAAACCTGAATTGACCCATGGTGTTACTATTGAACAAGCTTGGGCTGATTTGGAAAAAGCTCATAAAGAAGGTTTCGTGAAAAATATTGGTTTATCAAATTTTGATATTCCACATATTGAAAAAATCTTGAAAGTCGCAAGTGTCAAACCATCTGTTTTACAAATTGAGTTCCATGCTTATCTTTTCAATCAATCACCAGGTATTATCGAATATGCAAAGAAGAATGATATCTTGGTTGAGGCTTATGGCCCACTATCCCCAGTTATTAGGGCTTCAGGAGGTCCATTAGACCCAGTATTGAAGAAACTGGGTGAAAAATATGGCAAAAATGAAGCTCAAGTTTTGTTGAGATGGGTTTATCAACAAGGTATTTTACCAATCACCACAAGTTCAAGCGCTCAAAGAATTACAGAAGCATTAGCTATTTTCGAATTCGAGTTGGAACAAGCTGATGTTGATTTGATCACAAAAGTTGGTTCAGAACATCATTTCAGAGCATTTTTCCCAGATTTTGATAAATAGGTTAAAAATGATATAATAGCACAATAATAGATGAAACTACTGAAATATTCAGCGTGAGTTTCATTAAATTAATCCTAGCAGCGTTCCCTGATGTTTTGTATCTCTATTATCGCCGATATTCCTCATTATATTAACACCTTCATTAAACTTCTTCCTCCAATCCCACTTCTTGAGTTGTGATTTATTCAACGGATAAGTCATCAACAGGCTCTGGTCTCATATTCTTCAATGTGATATCTTCTCTACTCGAAAATCTACTCAAATCATTTGAGCGATCACTTTGAACCCCATGTTCTAGATCCATATCAAAATTCACATCTTCATTGTCTTGTGGAATTGAGTTTCTTAACTGGTCGTAACGTTGTTGTCTTCTTTGTTCTATAATCTTTTTATGGTAGACCATTGATATGACCAATGCTGATGATGAGCCTAACACATTGGCGATTATATCTTTAAAATCAAAGTCACGATAAGGTAGTAATCCCTGGACAAACTCTGATCCTATTCCACCAGTTAAAGTACAAATGATGAATGTTAAATTTCGTACAGCCCTGGTACTTGATGTTTCAAATAACCAATAAAACATCAGTGAAAGCAGGAAGAACGTGACGAAATGTATGAGTTTATCATGTGGTAATGATATTTTGGCAAACCCTAGGTAAGCAGATAACACAAGCGCAACAGCTAAACCTGCCAATACTGACTTTCTGATTCTCATGATGATGTGCTTTTTTCCTCTTTGAATGCTATATGATGATAAATGGCATCTGATAGCCTAGCAAAACTTTTCCTCTCTGCACCAGCAACAACTGCAACAAGCCAACACTGCTCTTCAAGAATGGCAGCACTCGAGTATAATAATACCTGTCAGCCCAGCTGTTTATGCCTTGTTGTTGTTTACTTTTTCAGAATATTTCACGATTTCACCATTGGCAAAACCGACCGTATTCCGGTTCCTTGCAAGCAAATCTGGGAGCCCCCTTTTGAAATGTACGATTTCAAAGAACAGTTGTGCTGGTGAGATTCTTCACAAAACATCACGTCTTTTGATAGATTCAATTCATTGCAAAGAAGTATCTCAATTGGAATCATATTCAGAGTGCTACGACTTTGGAAGATACTTCTACGAATAGTGTGTATTTTGTTTTGGTTTTTGATACTTTGAATTACAGCGGAAAGTTTGAATTGCTAGACGAGAACCATAAAGAATATATCAAACATGGCAACACCAATCCATAATCTTCGTCAGCCTTTGACTGATCAAGAAAAACATTTCTATGATTCCATTTTTAAATCATTGGACACTGAAAGCTTGGGAATTGTTACAGGTGAAACCGCCAGATCTACATTTGAAAAATCTGGTCTACCTCCAGCTATACTAGGTGAAATTTGGCAAATAGCAGATCCAACAAATTTGGGGTTCTTAAGTCAATTCGCCTTTTCTGTTGCCCTCAGATTGATTGGACATGTTCAAAATGGTGCAAAACCTGATAAATCATTGATTGACTATGCTGGTCCTGTTGCCAAATTCCAAGGTGTTTCTGGTCCAAATGTTGCTCCTGTTCCAGCTTTGGCTCATTCATCAACGGGAAGCATATCATCTCCTCAACAGCTTCAACCTCAATTAACCTCATTGCCACCTTTAACAAATCATGACATTTCAAAGTTCAGTCAGTTATTTGCTAAAAGTGCACCAACAGGTATCATTTCTGGTGATCAAGCTAGAAATATTTTCTTGAAGGCAAAATTACCAACTAATGTCTTGAGTGAAATTTGGGCATTAGCTGATAAGAACAATAGAGGTCAATTGGATAGAGATGAATTCGTTGTGGCCATGTTTTTAATTCAGGGAACAATCAATGGAACCATCAGACAATTACCACCATCTGTTCCTCAACATACTTGGGATCAATTGAAAAACTTCCAGTCACCAATTACTACAGGAGGATCAAGTACCGCAGGTGTCCCTGCATCATCATTTAGTCCACAAGTCACAGCTTCTAGACCAAATATATCTCGTGTTCCATCTAGTTTTGCCAATGCTTCAAACGATTGGACAATCTCTCCTCAAAAGAGAGCTCAATTCGATAGTATTTTTGAAGGTTTGGATAAAGAATCAAGAGGTGTTCTAGGACCTAATGAAATTGCTCCATTTTTAACAACTTCAAAATTATCACAGGATGTCTTAGCAAATATATGGGATCTATCGGACATTCACAACACTGGTGAATTTACCAAAACTGAATTTGCTATTGCTATGTTTTTGGTTCAAAAGAAAATTGCAGGCTCCGAGCTACCTCATGTTATTCCAGACTCTTTATTGCCAAACTATTATCAAGGTGCATCTACATCTCCTACTGAACAATATAAACAACAATCTGTTCCACAACCTGGTGCAAATCAATCGCATTCACAAGATCATGCAATTCCCCAAATCCCATCAAGAGACACCAAACCAAAATCTTCTCTTACTGATCTTGTTGACCTGAATGATGCTTTTTCAACACCAAGCCCAACAATTGCGGAAGCTAAGTTACCTGAAAAAGATGCATCAAGAACAGCTTCAAACTCAACTGTTAAATATACCCCAGCTGGTGGTGCTCCAAGACCTTTTGTTCCATCATCAACCTTTGGTCAAGAAATTTTTGAAAAGCAAAAAGCAGAAGCTCCAAAAGAAGTTGCACAACCTCCAGCTCCTGGTCCAGTTCAAGCCAAATCACCTGAAGCTCCAGTGCAATTGAAAGAATCACCTGTTGAATCAAAATTTGCACCTCAATTCACTGGGTCAACTCAACAATCAAGCTCAGGCCAAGTACCAACATTAAGTACTGGAAATAGAGCTCCATCATTCCAGACCACACCTAGTTTTTCACAACAACCTACAGGTTCATTGAATAGAAGCTTACCACGTAATGATGATTTGTTAGCAGATTCTAATCCAGAAATTTCTGGTCAACTGTCACAGGCTACTGCCGACATGGCTAATTTATCAAACCAAATTGGTTCATTAACTAACCAAACTTCTCAACTTCATGAAAAACGTGGAAGAGCTGAAAAGGAGTTGGCTAAAATCACTACTTTGAAAAAGGATATTGAAGCTAAATTGTCAAAACTTAGAGTTGCTTATGAACAAGAAGTTCAGCAAACCCAACAAGTCGAAACATCATTGAAAGCTTCTAAAGAAGAAACTGAGCAGTTAAGAAAAGAAGCTTCAGTTGCAGAGGCTCAATATAACTCTGTGCAAACTCAATTACAATCTTTACAATCTGAACTTGAGGAATCCCAAAAGGAAAATGCTTCATTGAAAGAACGTTTAGGAACCTTGAACGCTGAACACATTGAAGTCCAAAAACAATTGGAAAAAGTTCAAGGTGATGTTAGACAAAGTAAAGGATTAGCTGCCATCAATTCAAAGCAGTTGAGTACCACTGAAGTCTCATCAAATGGTATAAAAGCTGAAATTGCTGCTTTATTGGCTTCTATTGCTGAATTGGATTCTCATCACGAAGGTTACACTAAGAAACAAGCCGAGTTGGAGTCTTTGAAGAAGGAAATTGATACCAACGAACAATCATTAGCTCAACGCAGACAAGCCCACGAGCAAAGTGAGGTTGATTTCAAGGCAAAGGATGAAGAATTACAATCCAGACTTCAAGAACAACAACAAAGAGAAGCACAAATTCAACAACATGAAGCTCATATCCAACAATTATTTGCCAATCTACAAGAAAGACAAAGACAATTGGAAAATGCTGAAAATCAATTACAAGAACAACAAGTTCAATATGCTCAAAGGGTCCAAGAATTCTCGAATAGACAAATCGAAGAAGCTTCAAACGGTTACAATTTAAGCTCTGCATCAAGAGAAATTGAACCTAGTGCTACACCAGCAGTTCCTCCAACTACTTCAAAAGAAGCTGTAATTCCAAGTGATTTGGAATCATCAACATCTGCAACTCGTGATCTTGACACTGCATCGTCTTCAAAAGATTCAAACACTTCAAAAGGTTTATTAGGTGCTGCTGTTGGTGCTGTTGCTGGTGCTATTGGTGGTACTGCTCTTGCTGCTAGAAGTGCAACCACTGAAAGTGAAAGAGATAACACTGAATTTAGCTCTCCAGTCGCTGAAACCACTGAACAAACTACCTCAGTTAATTCTGATGACTACCAATACGAAGCTGGTCGTGATGTCAACCAATTCAACTTACCAATCGAAAGACCAGAGTCAGCTACATCATCTGTTCAAAATAATGCTCCACAATCTGTTCGTGGTGATGATATTGAAGAAAATCCAACTATTGATAGTGTCGTTGAAACTCCAGCTTTAGCTTCTGATGTTTTGTCTAAAGACTATAATGCTGGTGAAAGACATCAAGACGCTGTCGAAGCCACAACAGAATCTCCAGATGTTGGTTCATTTGAAATCGTTGATGAGAAATCCGAAAGTGATTTAACTTTGAGACCTGGTACTGGTCCAGAACAAAGTGCTGATGCTATTGAGTCATCAATCCCAGGTGCTTGGAACGTTGATTCTGCTGAAGCTCAACAAGAAAATGCTGAAGCTAAGGATCCTGAACCAGCGCCATCAGTTGTTGATCCACAATTGAGAGATGCTAGTGCAAGCACAAAAGCTATTCATGAAGATGCCATTGCAGCAGCAGCTGCTGCTACAGGTGCTACTGATGATGAAGTTACAGCTGCTAAAACAGATGCTCCAGTAAGATCAGCATCTAGTATTGGTGAAGAATTCCCACCTATCAAAGAGCTAAACATTAATGAAAGTGAAAGTGATGACGAAGAGTTCCATGAAACTTCTGAAAACCTGCCCGATCAAACCAAAAGTCCGTCAAAACATACTGGTGGTGCTATTGGAGCTGGGGTTGGTGCCACTGCTGGTATTGCTGGTGCAAGTGCACTTGGAGCTGGCAATAAAGACTTCAACTTTGAAACTCCATTTGCCCCAAGTAAAACTCCAGAGAAACGAGTTGATGAGTTGTTCCAAGATGATTTTGAAGGGTTGGAAGCTGCTAAAGAAGATACATTGAATGATGATGATGAGTTTAATCAAACTAGAGATTTTAATGAACAATTAGATGGCTCAAACTTTTACGGTGCAGATAATTTTAGTGGTCAACAATCTCAGCAATTTTCAGATCCAGCTCACGGTCAAGATAGTAATGGAGAATGGGAACAAATCTTTGCTGGTTTTGGTAATGAAGGTCAAGCTCAACAACCTCAAGAAGCCGTTTCTCAACCACCAGCTGCTTCATCACATCCATACGCACAAAATGCTTTTGGATCACAGTCATCACAGCAAAAAGTTATCCAACCTGAACCAACTCATCCTGGTAGAGTTGCTTCATCATCTTCAAGTCATAAGCATGGTCGTATAGCTACGACTCCACGTTCCTTAGCTGTGCAAGAGTTGACTGGTATGGGGTTCTCTAAAGAAGAAGCATTAGCAGCATTGACTAAAGAGAAATGGAATTTGGAAGCTGCTACCAATCACTTGCTTGATAATGCTTGATTAATTTGTTATTCATTTTTGCTTTTTCTTACTTTTGTTTCGTGCCTTAGTGATTTGCTTGACTTTTGTACTGTGTTGTATTTTTTAAAAAAGAATGGAGAAACTCCTACATTGTTTTCTATTCAAATATTTTGTTACTATTATTAATATTATTATATGATTTGTTCATTCTCTTCTGTAGATAACTGTTCGATTAGTCTTTTCAATCGTTCACTGAGATCCGAATCTTTGGCAAGATCATTGAATTTCTCCAGGTTTTGGAATTTATTTGATACATCTAGCCTTATTTCTGTAGCTTCTTTTGATAGATTATTCAATTCTTTGAGTATATTTTCATTGCTGGACTTCAAATCACCAAGTTGTTTTTCTAAATTCTTTAGTTTTACTTCCTTCACAGGTATTAAATGACTTGAAACGACATTCACAGGCGTTATTTGATCATCCCTAGAGCGTATATGTTAGTTCACACAGCATTCTAGAATAAGTTTTTTGAAATCAACTTACATTAGTTGTTTTTTATCTCCAGATTTTTGGCGTTCTTGAGCTTGTATTATCAAATCATCCAATTGGTTTAATTTTTCTTCAATATCTCTTTCTTTGAAAATAGCATCAAATTCTTTCTGTGAATTTTGTGACCATGATTCTTTCAGTTGGTCCTTCACTGCACTAATCGTGTCTTTTCCTTCTTTTGAACCTGCCAGTATCGGATAACACATTTTCAAGTTATCATCTGATAGTGCCTTCATGGACTCTTCAAGGGCTCTTTTGCATACTTGGTTCAGTCTTTCAAACCGTATATGATTATCTTTATTGTTATTGTCACTCATTATGCTCTCAAAATCCTTTCATAGACCGTTCTTTAAGAAAGTTGACGTTATTGTTTATGTTTACAACTTTTCGCGTACCCGCGAAAGGTTAATATTTTGATATCAGCAGCATTCTAAGGGTAACACTCAAAAATTCGCGAAACTGCCACTTCTCACAATTTGATTGTGGAAACCACAAGTGACACTTTCATAACACTTTTTAGTTTCGTAGAATTGCAAATTGCATCCAGGATCATTGAAACCAGTCATAATATAGATAATGTCTGATCCAGAATCATTAGTCCAACAAGTAAGTGTCGTTGTTAGCTTTTCTGGTGTCTAAGTTTTAACAATCCATACAGGCTGATAAGAAAGCTGCTTCTAAACAAAGTTTCTTAGGTGGTATCTTTGGTAGCAGCAAAGCATATCAACTAGAAGAAGCATCTGACTTATATGTCCAAGCTGCAAACATATATCGTCTAAGAAAGCAAGGTCAGAAAGCTGGTGAATGTTTTGAAAAAGCCGCTAAAGCTCAATTACAAAATGATAGTAAAGATGAAGCTGCAAACACATTAGTTGATGCTTTCAAGTCTTATAAATCCGAAGATGCTGCAAGTGCTGCTAGAGTATTAGAACAGGCTATTGAGTTTTTCACATTGAGAGGTCAATTCCGTCGTGCCGCTAATTTCAAGAATGATATTGCACAAATATATGAAGAAGAATTGTTTGATATTCCAAAAGCTTTACAAAGTTATCAAGATGCAGGGGATTGGTACGAAAGTGATAATGCACAAGCATTAGCTAATAAGGCTTTTTTGAAATGTGCTGATTTAAATGCATTGGATGGCAAATATATTGAAGCCAATGAAATTTACAAAAAAATTGTAAAGAATTCATTGAATAATAATTTATCAAGATGGAGTTTAAAAGATTATTTTGTGAAGGTTGTTTTATGTTACTTAGCTGCTGATGATAAAGTTGCAGCCAACAAATATTTAGAAGAGACCTTAACTTTAGATTCAAGTTTCCAAAGTACCAGAGAGTACAAATTATTGAGAGATGTTGTTGATGCAGTTGGTGAAGGTGATGCTCAAAAACTTGCAAATACATTGTATGAATACGACCAATTCAGTAAATTAGATAAATGGAAAACCACCATTCTTCTCAAGATCAAAAACACAATTATTGAAGCTGATGATGATTTATTATGATGTTGTGGTATCAGAGGGAACGATTTTTTCGTAATGTTTGATTTGGTTTGAGTTTTTTGGTTTTAATCTTTGATGGATATATTTTGTTTATACACAATTCATTTATGATGATCACATAGATTTTTGTATTTATTGTTAAATGACATTACAAGGGTCTTTGACAGGTAGTAGAATTTACCGGTACTGATAAGCGAACTTGTTGATTCTAATTACTGTTACACAGACTGAACCATCAACAGTAGGTATGCGAAGAAAATCACCACTAAAGTATCAGAAAATGATTCAACGTACCAGAAAGTATTCACTCCATAGTGTGAAAGCCTCGAGATCATAAAAGATCGTGATCATGAGGTAATCTGAGATGCATCATGAACTGAGAAATCATTTCAGCCCGAACTCAGCTAAATTGGTGCTTTGAAGCCCTTTTTTCTCAGCTTATATGCCATCATAATATGCCCTACGATGACGACAGCACCAGTTTGACCAATAAAACACTGTCTTCCCAACGGTTAAAGTACTGCGAATCTGTTTCTGTTCTTGTGCCTTATGTTTGACTCATTTGGCTGTTCCATAAAGTGGCCCTACCCGATGAAAATATTTTTTTTTTTTTTTTTCTATCACTGAGTCAAACGTAGGTGTTGATAAATGTTCAACGATATCTCGTTTTCCTATATCTTTTTGACACTGGTCGTTCTACATCAGAAACTCACAATTGCCAATTAGCATTTGCTCTCAGCTGCTCCCAACAATCTCATACTCCTACCTGTTGGTTCCATTGCATCTGCTGTATACTATCAGATTCTACTGTGTGGATAATATATACTACCCCATTGAATTGATAAAGTTGAGTTTCAAACACCATGCAAAAGATTTTATTAAGACCAGTGGCTCTTAATGTCACCAAAAGAGCTCTTTCAAAGTCCTCTAAAGCTGCAATTGTTGGTGGTTCAAGATTGAGATTCAGAAAATATCAATCACGTTCATTAGCAACAACTTCAACTGCAGCTGCCGCTGCTACTTCTGGTCAAGCTGCTGCCTATGCTGGATCTGGTATCTTGTCAGGCTTCAGTGATGAGAATGCACATCAATTGGTTGATGTTTCTAAAGTTTTAGTTATCGGTTCCGGTGGGTTATCTATTGGTCAAGCTGGTGAATTTGATTATTCTGGTTCTCAAGCTATTAAAGCTTTAAAAGAAGCAAACAAAAAGACAATTTTGATCAATCCAAATATTGCAACCAATCAAACATCTCATGCTTTAGCTGATGAAATTTATTATTTACCAGTTACTGCTGAGTATATCACTTATATCATTGAAAGAGAAAAACCAGATGGTATCTTGTTAACTTTTGGTGGTCAAACCGGTTTGAACGTTGGTGTTCAATTAGATAAAATGGGTGTCTTTGATAGATACGGTGTTAAAGTCTTGGGTACTCCAATTAAAACTTTAGAAACTTCAGAAGATCGTGAGTTATTTGCTCAAGCTTTGAAAGAAATTAACATTCCAATTGCTGAGTCAATTGCTGTTGAAACTGTTGATGATGCCTTAAAAGCTGCTGAATCTGTTGGTTACCCAATCATTGTCAGATCAGCTTATGCTCTTGGTGGGTTAGGTTCAGGTTTTGCTAAGAATGAAGAAGAGTTGAGAAATTTGTCATCTCAATCATTATCATTATCTCCACAAATTTTAGTTGAAAAATCATTAAAAGGTTGGAAAGAAGTCGAATATGAAGTTGTTAGAGATCGTGTTGGTAATTGTATTACCGTTTGTAATATGGAAAATTTTGATCCTTTAGGTATCCATACCGGTGATTCAATTGTTGTTGCTCCATCTCAAACTTTATCAGATGAAGAATATCATATGTTGAGATCAGCAGCCATCAAGATCATTAGACACCTGGGTGTTGTTGGTGAATGTAATGTTCAATATGCCTTACAACCAGATGGGTTAGACTATCGTGTTATTGAAGTTAATGCAAGATTATCAAGATCTTCAGCTTTAGCTTCAAAAGCTACCGGTTATCCATTAGCTTATACTGCTGCTAAGATCGCTTTAGGTCATACTTTACCAGAATTACCAAATCCAGTTACTAAAACAACTTCAGCAAATTTTGAACCATCATTAGATTATATGGTTACTAAAATTCCAAGATGGGATTTATCCAAATTTCAACATGTTAAAAGAGATATTGGTTCATCCATGAAATCTGTTGGTGAAGTTATGGCTATTGGTCGTAATTTTGAAGAAAGTTTCCAAAAGGCCATTCGTCAAATTGATCCATCTTTTGTTGGTTTCCAAGGTGGTGAATTTGAAAACTTGGATGAAGCTTTAGCAGAACCAACTGATCGTCGTTGGTTAGCTGTTGGTCAAGCTTTATTACATGAAAATTACTCTGTTGAAAAAGTTCATGAATTGACAAAGATTGATAAATGGTTTTTGTACAAATTGGGTAATATTGTGGAAATGCAAAAAGAATTGGAAAAAATCGGCTCATTGTTTGGTTTAAATAGAGATGTTATTTCAAGAGCTAAGAAATTAGGTTTCTCTGATAGACAAATTGGTTTAGCTGTTGGTTCAAGTGAATTAGAAGTTAGAGCTAGAAGAAAAAATTTCGGTATTGTTCCATTTGTTAAAAAAATTGATACTTTAGCTGCTGAATTCCCAGCTAGTACTAATTATTTATACACCACTTATAATGCTACTGAAAATGATGTTGAATTTGATGAATTTGGTACTATGGTTTTAGGTTCAGGTGTTTACCGTATTGGTTCATCTGTTGAATTTGATTGGTGTGCTGTTTCTACCGCTAGAGCTTTAAGAGAAAATGGTAAAAAAACCATTATGATTAATTACAACCCAGAAACCGTTTCCACTGACTTTGATGAAGTTGATAGATTATACTTTGAGGAATTAAGTTTTGAAAGAGTTATGGATATTTATGAATTAGAAAACTCCAAGGGTGTTGTTGTTTCCGTTGGTGGTCAATTACCACAAAACATTGCATTAAAACTACAAGACAATGGTGCTAAAGTTTTAGGTACTAATCCTCAAGATATCGATAAGGCTGAAGATCGTCATAAATTCTCTTCAATCTTGGATTCTATTGGAATTGATCAACCAGCTTGGAAAGAATTATCATCAGTTGAAGCTGCAAAGAGCTTTGCTGATAAAGTTGGTTTCCCAGTTTTAGTTCGTCCATCTTATGTCTTATCAGGTGCTGCAATGTCAGTTATTAGAAATGAAGATGAATTAGAAAACAAATTAGGTAATGCTGCTAAAGTTTCACCAGATCATCCAGTTGTTATTTCTAAATTCATTGAAGGTGCTCAAGAAATTGATGTTGATGCCGTTGCCTCTAATGGTAAAGTCTTGGTTCATGCTGTTTCTGAACATGTTGAAAATGCAGGTATTCATTCAGGTGATGCTACATTAGTTTTACCACCACAAAAGTTGTCTCAAGATGTTATGGATAGAATTAAAGACATTACTGATAAAGTTGGTAAAGCTTGGAATATTACAGGTCCTTTCAACATGCAAATTATTAAGAATGATGTTGAAACCAATCCAGATTATCCAGAATTGAAAGTTATTGAATGTAATATTAGAGCTTCAAGATCTTTCCCATTTGTTTCAAAAGTTTTAGGTACTAATTTCATCAATGTTGCAGTTGAAGCTATCTTGGGTAAAGATGTTGCTCCACAAAACTTAATGGATGTTAAACGTGATTATGTTGCTACTAAAGTTCCACAATTTTCATTCACTAGATTAGCTGGTGCTGATCCATTCTTGGGTGTTGAAATGAGTTCTACTGGTGAAATTGCAAGTTTTGGTAAAGATGTTACTGAAGCTTATTGGACTGCTTTACAATCCACTATGAATTTCAAATTGCCATTACCTCCAAGTGGTATCTTATTTGGTGGTGATTTACAACAAGATTTCTTGGGTGATGTTGCTAAAATAATTGCACCAATTGGTTATAAATATTACACAGCTTCACCAGAAGTTGCTGAATATTTGAAGAAATATTTACCATCAGATTATCAAGTTGAAGTTATTGAATTCCCAAAGACTGATAAGCGTGCTTTACGTGAAGTTTTCCAAAAATATGATATCAAAGGTGTTTTCAACTTGGCCAAAAGAAGAGCTGAAGACTTGTTGGATCAAGATTATGTTATGAGACGTAATGCTATTGATTTTGGTATCCCATTATTTAATGAACCACAAACTTCATTATTGTTTGCCAATGCTTTAGTTGCTAAGATTGATACCAAATTGGCTCAAGATAAAGACACTATTGTTATTCCAAATGAAGTTCGTCGTTGGAGTGAATTTATTGGTGGTAAACAAGTTTAATGTGAAAAAAAGTATATAAACTACACGAAGAGATATTAATAGAACGCAATTAAAATGTGATAATAGAATTAGCGGAATTGATACCTGTAGTTGGATAAATTATTACATCTTGCAATTAATTGTTCCAAAGTCTTACACATATACGTCCGGATTTAACATGCTGCATGCCTCGGAAGAACTGTACATTCACTTGCATGTTTCGCGCTGTCTTTTATTTTTTTCCCAATCAAATTTTGAAGGAGCAAATCAGCGGAGGTTGAATTCAAGTTATTTTTGAGTTTGGGTTTGTCGGATTTGAGAGCATTTCAAATGGTTTTGGCTGAGTTATTCAAAGTCATTTATCCAGAGCTTTATTTCCACCGTATATTGCCTAATATACTTTATTGTAATAAGCTGATTCGATGAGCTTATCGTGGTGTGGAGCCGGTCACTGCGCAGCAAAATCAACTGAGCTCGTTCCAGCTCAAGCTCGAAAAAACATCCGAGAAGGGTTTCGCGAACGCGATTTTTTGTTGTTGCCAGAAAAAAAGCTTTTAAGCACATCAATTCGACGAGTAGTAATCTTATCCTGAAATACCTCTTCATTGAGCCACCAGACACCTGACGCGAGAAAAGGTTGATAATAATCATTATAAGAACCCTTGGTTTCGCTCATAACAAATACTTCGCTCCTTCAGGTTTTTGCAAACTTTCAACTTCCGCTTCCAAGAGGCACCAAGCGTCTACTACATTAAGCCCAACAACATATTACACATATACATCCTCAAACAAGTTTAAATGGGGTCTTGTCTTTCCAAAGAAGATGCTCCAGCATCTGCTCAAGTCAGCAATAAAGTCCAAAGGACCTCCAAGCTCGATAACCCTTCTTCTTCTTCAAATGAGAAAGATGCCAATGACATTGCTCAAAATAACAAGCCTCTGAATGGCAACAACCAACAAATCATACAACAACAACAACAACAACTTTCAGATACACAACAGGCAAGAAAACAATCAATAGTGCCTTCAGAATCTTCTAATGGTACATCTACAGCAGTGAATTCAGGTAATTCAAAAGATACTCATGAATATACAAAAGTGTTGCTTTTAGGTTCTGGTGAAAGTGGTAAATCAACAATTTTACAACAGTTAAAAATCTTACATTCAAATGGATTCTCTGATCAAGAATTATTCGATTTCAAACCTTTTATATTTGGGAATATCATCTTATCTGCTAAAGATCTAGTGGAGGCTTATAAAAAATTTGATATAAAATTAGAAACAGATGATCAAGTTGATGAAACTGATTTTGAATTTATAAGTTCAGCAACTGCACCTGTTGACCCACATAAAAGTTTTGATAAAAGATTAGCTTTGAAAATTATTGCATTATGGAAAAATCAATCAACTGCTGAATTGATTAAAAATCATCGTCAAGATTTTTATTTAATGGATTCTGCTAAATATTTTTTTGAAAATCTTGATAGAATCTCTCAAGAAGATTATTTACCAACAGTTACAGATGTGCTGAGAACAAGAAAGAAAACCTCTGGTATTTTTGATTTAAAGTTTGAATTGAATGGATTGAAAATTCATATATATGATGTTGGTGGTCAAAGATCAGAACGTAAAAAATGGATTTATTGCTTTGATAATGTTACTTCAATCATATTTTGTGTTGCTTTATCTGAATACGACCAAACATTATTAGAAGAGAAAACTCAAAACAGATTAGAAGAAAGTTTAACATTATTTGATTCTGTTGTCAATTCCCGTTGGTTTTCAAGATGTTCAATTGTTTTATTTTTAAACAAAATTGATGTTTTCGTTGAAAAATTACCTTATTCACCATTAGAGAATTACTTCCCTGATTATAGTGGTGGTAATGATGCCAATAAAGCTGCCAAGTACATTTTATGGAGATTTACTAGAGTAAACAGATCAGGTTTACCAATTTACCCTTATATCACTCAAGCTACTGATACCAATAACATTAAATTGGTGTTTGTTGTTGTTAGAGAAAGTATTTTATCAAATATTTTGCATGACACTGGTTTGTTATGAATGAAATGAACAGCAACAACAACTTTTATGAAATGAAATGAAATGATCAATTAACTATTCTTTTAACGTGCTACAAAGACCACACAGAATAAAGAACCCATAACTATCCTGTAACTAATGATGAAACTAAAAAACAAAACAACCAAAAGTTTGAAAAGAAAAACCACCCAAAAGTTCCTTTTTCCTATTTTTCATAACCAAAAAAACTTTCTATTCCAAAAAAACAAATTTTTAATGTGACGTTCGATGTGGTGTTTAATTTTAATTCAATACTAATTTAATATAAGTGAGATTGTAGTTCATGAAGGGTCAAAAATTGTCACATTTGTTGATTGTCATCAAGTATGTTCGATGTTCATAAGCATGTAAAAGGTCCAACACTTTTTGTCTTGTCTTATTAGTGATTTCAATATAATTCGCACCTCTAAATTCAATATCAGATTTTAAATGAGGCAAATCTTTCTTCTTTATGAAAAATTCAACACCTGCTGGTTTGAAAGTTGGTGGCAACATTGGAACAAAATCTTCATCATGAACTAATCTAATTAAACCCCAGTCAACGTCTTTCCAATTACTAATTCTTTTGGAAAGTTCATCAGTTTCGAAAATTTCATTGACCCAATCAACCATTAAAGAATTAAATAAACGTGGTGAGCCATAAGACAAAACCAATGGCTTATAACCTTTCATTCTAAATTCAATACCAACTAATATTGCTAAAGCTGCACCTAGAGAATGACCGGTAAGGACCAATTTGTAGTCAGGATGCTTCGCAAACAATTCATCAATTGGTCTAACTAAGGATTCCGAAATCTGTTCCAAGTTCTTGATAAATCCATAATGAACTTTGCAACCTTTACAGTCACGAACATGCTTCAATTTTGTAACAGACTTATAATCAACTGGAATCATTTGTAGGTCACTCGCCCAATCAGTTCTAGTAACTGAACCTCTAAATGAAACAATTATTTCCTTATTCTTTTTATCCAAAGTGATGAATCCTGTACCACTTTCATCATTCGTTGCATTTCTGATCTATATTACGATTAGTATTCCACACTTGTGAAATTTTGAAAAGGTTTCAATTCACTTTAACAATCTGTGCACCCATATTTCGTTCATCAGAATGACAAAAATTTAAATGACAAGCACCCTTATGTAGCCAACCTTCTGATAAGTTCCCATGTGTGATACATGCTGATAGAGCAGAATAACGTGCATAATGAATAAATTTGTCATAAAGTTGATCAGAAAACCCTATCACAACCCTCAAGAGAGTAAATACCACAATACCATGCTGAAACCTCATGATAGAGGTATTGGAAAGTCTGATTTTGAAAGAATGATTAATGCTTTACCGCATGCTTTTTATGTCACACGAAATTTCAAACATGTTAGGTTTTGTGTTTTTGTGGCGGTGATGAACATGGAACTTGAACTTGAGCATAACTTCGAAAATTAAGCTTGATAGTGTCTTTCAGGAAAATCACAAACAATTTGATAACAAATCATCCCAGTCAATTTATAAATATTTTGAACAATTGCAACTTGTAATCTCTCAATTGTTCAATCATACCAACCTCCATCAGCACAACCACAGAACCATTTCTTCAGCCTTAAAGTAGCAGCATAAAGAGCGCCTCTACCCAAGCAGTACCTGCCATATTAATCAGCACAATCACCAATTCACCAGCAATCTCTTCTCTTCAAAATGTTTGTAATTGCAATTAAAATTCTCATTGCAATTGATCAATTGATGGTCCCCTTCGCGAATTAGGCCTGTGTTATGTAATCATTTTTTCAATTTTCTACGTGTTAACAAAAAAAAACGAAAAAAACACGCGAAATCAAAAAAACATCAACAACGTCAAAACCTCAACGTCGAATTGAAGGAGTTGTGCTGCCATTGTCCAGGTCATATCGTTGCTATTTGCTAGACTGCTCTTACACCACCAAAGGAGAAGCTAGATCTTACCCAATTGCACGTTGTATCAACTCAGGCTCATTATTTCATATTAACCTCAATACCTTTGACAATTATATGAACAACAATGGCTCCAAAGAAAACCAGACAACAAACTAATGAGAAATCATCTCATGTTGAAGAATTGGATCCAGTCACTGAATTCGTTTTCGAAAAAGGTGTCGACCGTCCATTCTTGATTACTACTCCTCCTCCAAATTTATCACATCTACGTTCAGTTACAACTTTTAAAGAACGTTTATTCTTAGCTGCATTAGTTATCTTTGCCCTATTTATCAGATTACAAATACTTTATCAACCAAACTCAGTTGTTTTCGATGAAGTTCATTTTGGTGGATTTGCTAAAAAATATATTTTAGGCACTTTCTTCATGGATGTTCATCCTCCATTAGCAAAATTATTATTCGCTGGTGTTGCTTCATTAGCTGGTTTCAAAGGTGATTTTGGTTTTGAAAAGATTGGTGATGTTTACCCAGAAACAACTCCATACTTTTGGATGCGTGCATTCCCAGCTGTTTTAGGTGTCGGTACTGTTGTGTTATTGTATTTGACATTAAGAGCTTCAGGTGTTAGACCATTAGTTGCATTCATTACTGGTTTAATTTTCACATATGAAAATGCCAATGTTACCATCTCAAGATACATTTTATTAGATTCACCATTAATCTTCTTCATCTCTGCAGCAGTTTATGGTGCTAAAAGATTTGAAAATGAAATTCCATTCTCTTTCCAATGGTATAGAGCTTTAGTTTCCACTGGTGTCGCCCTAGGGTTAGCTCTCTCATCAAAATGGGTTGGTTTATTCACCGTTGCTTGGGTTGGTGCATTGAATGTTTGGGATTTATGGTTTTTAATTGGTGATTTAACTGTTCCAGTTTGCAAAATCTTCAAACACACCATCGCTAGAGGTTTAATCTTGTTGGGTATCCCACTTGTCTTATACTTGACTTTCTTTGCTGTTCACTTCAAAGTCTTGTACAAAGAAGGTGATGGTGCTGCTTTCATGTCTTCAGCTTTCAGATCAACTTTACAAGGTAACAAAATTCCAGGTAATATTTTAGCCGATGTTGGTGTTGGCTCAGTTATCTCTATCCGTCACATTGATACTCAAGGTGGTTACTTGCATTCCCATGATTCTCTATATGAAACTGGTTCAAAGCAACAGCAAATTACTTTGTACCCACACTTGGATACCAACAATAATTGGTTGGTTGAATTATATGATGCTACTGAAGCACCAACTTCATTCCAACAAATCCAAGATGGTACCAAAATCAGATTAAAACATATTTTAACTGGTCGCCGTTTACACTCTCATGATCACAAATGTCCTGTTACTGAAAATGACTGGCAAAAGGAAGTTTCAGCTTATGGTTATGAAGGTTTCGAAGGTGATGCTAATGATGATTTTGTTGTTGAAATTCAAAAAGCTTACACCAAATCACCAGATGCTCAACAAAACCTGACTGCTTTACAATCTGTTATTAGATTACGTCACGCTATGACTGGTTGTTACTTGTTTTCTCATGAAGTTAAATTACCAAAATGGGGTTTCGAACAACAAGAAGTTACTTGTGCTACTCAAGGTGTTTTATCAAAATCTTTATGGTATGTTGAACAAAATGAAAATCCATTTTTACCAGCAGATGCTAGAAGGGTTAATTACAAACAACCATCTTTAATCGAAAAAACCATTGAAGCACATCAAAGAATGTGGCACATTAACCAAAACTTGAATGCTCCTCACAACTGGCAATCATTACCAAACACATGGCCATTATTGAGCCGTGGTATTAACTACTGGGGTGAAGATAATCGTCAAATCTATTTGTTAGGTAATGCTCCAACTTGGTGGGCTTCTACTGCTGTCATTGTCATCTTTGCAGTTTATGCCGCTACTCAAATCTTGAGATGGCAAAAGGGTGCAAGTGTTGGTGTTGATCGTCATATTTATAACTTCAATGTCCAAACTTTCAAGTATATTCTTGGTTGGATTATTCATTTTGCTCCATCATTCTTAATGGGTCGTCAATTATTCTTACACCATTATTTACCAGCTTATTATTTTGCTATTTTGACCTTGGGCCACTTCTTGGACATTATTGTTAGTTATATCTTTGCTAAGAAGAGAAGTATTGGTTACACTTTAATCATTATCTTTTCATTGATTTCATTCTTATTCTATGTCAACTACTCTCCATTGATTTACGGTACACCATGGACCAAAGCACAATGTGAAGCTTCAAAATTAGTTGATACCTGGGATTATGACTGTAACAAATTCCATGAAAGTTTAAGTGATTACAATATTCCACCAAAAATCTTTGAACCAAGTGAATCATATGGTGGTGCTCAACCAATTGCTTCTCAACAAAATGTTGGAGGTCAACAAGTTCTCCAAGGGTAAAAAGTAAGTATATAAAACAGAAGATGGAATTTGTAATCATTATACCCCTTATTCCAATAAACAAGTTATTTAAGTGAATCTTTCCTACATGTAGCATATTTTCAAAATGAATGGATATCTTACATATTTCTGTCATATTTCTGTCATAAATATCATACTCTGATGTTAACCTTTAGTACCCAATCTGTGATTAATATAAATGGTCAATAAAAGCAATGCTGAAATAAATAAACTGGCCCATTTTGTGAAAACAAAGGCTTCTCTATAACATTCAAGTCCAGCTCTACAAACACCATCTTCATCTGTATGTTTACCCAAGTAATAACCAAACAATTTTGTCAATTGACTAACAGTTATAATACCACCAGTGGTCATCAAGCCCCATATAGTACTAAACCCTTCTGTACCGAATCTATCAGCAACCACAGCAGGGAAAGTACCAAAGACAAACCCAAAGGCAAACCCTGTAATGAATGAACAAAGTGTGATCTGCTCAACTGAATCAAATATTGAAGTTAAATGCTGGCCTAATCCCATCAGTGAAGATGCAAAGAAGATACACCATATCCTTTGTGCATGAAATTTTCTTCTGAAAACATCAGAAATAGGGCCCGAGGTTAATCTTCCCAAGAAACTAGCAATTGCAATTGTTGAAACCTGTAATGCTTGAGATTGTCCAACTGTTAGTTTCTTATTAGGTGTTGAATTAACTTGCGCAACAACGATAAAACCCACGCTATAAATATACATTTGCCCAATACCCTGCAAGGAAGCCAATATGAAATAATACTTGAGGAACAACCTTTGACAGATCGCTTTCACGATATAATGATTCCAAATTGGCGAATGTTCACGCACAAACACTGGAACATCTTCAACAGCAGAGTATATCACTGAACTATCTGCTCTGCGAAGTTCTGGTGCTAACAATGGTCTGTTTTCTTGAGAGAATGAACTGACTGAACCTCTTGGAGATCTAACACCAATACCCCAGAAACTTAGTGATCCTCTTAAGCTTCTTCTTCTTTCATTGAATGCACTCATCAAAGACGCGGCTGATGGAACCGTCTTCATTGTAGTTCTTTCTTCTGCGATGGCTGATTCACTATTTGCCGAAACTGTGGCATCTGATCTCTTTTCTTTCTTGTAAATTCTCAAAAAGAAAGAGCTAGCCACGCAAAGGGTTGGGCAAAACAATGAAAAAAATTTGAGCAATCCCGCTGTATTATCTTTGAAGAAATTGACTGCAATAGATGAATAAAGCAACGCTGCCAAAGCATAAGCTGACACTGGTAAGGCACCCGCAGTACCTCTATGATGTGGGAAATTTGCTGTGGCACATTTCACTGTCGAATAAAAGCTCAGTATGGATCCAAATCCAACACATGCTAGTGCAACCATCAGCAGTGGGATATTTTGTGATTGTGTTGTATAGATCTTGTGAAGTAGTGTGAATGCTGTGAATTGAAATATTGATCCAATGAAATCAGCAGGACCTGGTCCAAATTTATCAATCATGAGTCCAGCAGGGAAGCCTCCACAAGCACCACCTAAAGCTAGAGCTAGTGACAAGTTTGACAACGAAGACACTGGAAGCTTTGAATTTTTAACCAATTGTGGTGCAAACACAGAATAAACATATGGAGTACCAGAAGCTGTTGCAACAATAACGGATGCCACGAGTGAGACGATCCTGGCCCCTACTGGTGGGTATTCAAAAAACTGTTGTGATTCGGACATGGTGAGCTATTCCTGACACCTTCCAACACCAGCACGACTCGATGATGGTTTCTTCGATCTGGTGATGAAATGTTTTGATCACAAGTATTTATAGCGACTGAAATTTTCTTATCAGTGAAAATTCGCGATAAAATAAACTTTCTGGTTCGGGGACTGTTAGCGCGGTTGAAACCGAAATCTACATACAAAAATAAATTATTCAAACTCTTCAGTTTATTTTGATGCTTGAGACGAGGAATAAGCGTGTACAATCACAGCAGTCGCAGTCTGGATGTTCATGGATCTGATGACTCCCATTTGTCTGATTTCAATGCAGTAGTCCAACTCAGCAAGCAGTTCTCCAGGAATACCTTCGGCTTCTCTTCCCAATAGAATCAAAGATTTGGATGGAAATTCAGTATCTTTACCAAGGACAATACTTTGATCTGTTTGTTCTAACCCAATCAATGTGTAGCCCTCCCTTTTCTTTGACTTCATGAACTTTGGGATATCCTTGATCTGAACTTCTGTGATAGGCATCCAGTAATCAGCAGTCACAGCGACATTCTTGAACTGTGGATGTTTCTTGACTCTTAAATCATCAACAGTCATCAACCCAGCACCTAAAACATCACATAATCTGCAAATACCACCTAGATTAGGAGGCTTATCAACCAAAGAACTAACAACAATCAACTCGCTTCTCTTGATACTTCTGGTATTTTCGTCGAGATCAATAACTGATTCCCAAGCTCCACTTTTGGTTTGTAAAGGTGAATTGACGTTAGAGCTTGTGGAAAGTTGGTCTTCAGTTGAGGCTTTCCAATTCGAACGGTAATCTGAACCAACTTCAACTTTTCCAGCTTCATTTTGGTAATATTTTTCAAATTCAGCCTGCGATATAGCATCAACTTCCCTGGGTGAGATCTTGGATAAAACACCACCAAATATTGATGTTAAAGTGAAATCATCTTCAACATCCCATATCAAAGCATCACCACTTCTATACTGACCAGTAACTTCTGATTTTTTAGCTTCAATATAAAGTGCTTCCAGTACACTATGCACAGGCAATTCTATCTTTTTAGATATCAATTCTGGAAACACAGACAATATTAATGAATTTGAAAAATGTCTAATCAATGGTTTGTTTGAAGTACAATTTGGGATTAAAAATTGAGTAAACCTGTCAAAATATGAAACATTTTCTGGTGATGGCAATTTCTGTGCAGTCATGAATGCAATTCTTTCAACAGAAGTGACTAGTGCTGGTTTAGACTGATCTTTAAAGTAACCAAATAAAGCTTCTCTATTCACATCACTATTGATCATATCAATGCTAACTATCCATTCAATGTAAGATCTAACTAGTGGACTTGATTCTTCTACTAATGACGGTAATAAATACTTGGCCACAATATTTGATAAACGTTCTGGATCAATTTGACGTGATACCAATAGCAAAAGAGCGAATGATGAGATTCTTTGACGTTCTTCTGTGCCATTAGCCTTTTTATTTGGTGTTAGCAATGAATATTTATCATCTTGAATCAAGTTTTGAAAGAATTCATTAGTGAACTCGACAGAGCTTGTCACAAGTATACTGATGACATTGATCTTTGCAGAGACTTCATCCGGTCCAAAAACTTCTTCATATAAATCTCCGTGAAATTTTAGCTCATCATCATAGATCTTTGCCAAAACTGGTTTGAGTCTGAACAAATTACTCTCATCTTGAACCAAACTGAAACTTTTAACCAACACTTCAATTAACCAGAATGTTTGATTGAATTCAGCAGAATATCCTTTTTGATAATTCATAATTTTTGAAGTCAAAGTTGGCAAGAATGATCTTCTAGTGAATGATTGATCAATAATCTCTAATCCAATTCTTTGAATGATTTTTGCATTATATTCATTATTGATTGAATCTTTCAACAATTTTTCATCAAATAGTGTTTCAATAAACTTCAAATGCATCAGTTTTTGATTCAAAACCAATCTTTCTGAAGTGATTTGTTCCCATATCTTTTCTAAAATTTCAATCCCGTTAATAAAATCGAAGTCATAATTTTTCAACAAGTATTGCAAGGTGTTACATATTGATATATTGGTCAAATAATAAGCACTTGATGCCTCTTGATCTAATAACTCGAGAAGTTCATCAACTTCTTGTTCGGCCAATGGGGTCATTTTGATGAATGCGAGAGTTAGATCAAAGAAGCCGGCACTGATAGCATCTTTTCTCTTATAATCATAGCTGAGGTTTTTCAAATCTTTGTGAACTTTTAACAGATCTTTGAAATTGAATAATGAAACATCTGATGATTCAGCTGATTTGGCATATAAATTGACAAAAAATTCAAACTTTTCAAGATCAAATGGTGTAAAGAGAGAATCATAAAGCTTTGAAAGATCAAGATTTCTCCAGCTATTCTTGGAAATCTCTAGGTTAATCAATGATGTTGCCTTTTCATAGCTATCAACTGAAGTATTCACCAATGATGTTAGCAAGACACTATATTCTTTGGAGAAAGAATGTGTATGGTCCACTTTTGAATATGCAAGTTCAAGCAAAAACTCATTCGACAAAGTGAATTTGTTCAAAAGAATGGAAGTAACAATTTGATATTCTAGCTCCCTACCAGTATAATTAAAGTCTGACCCGTCATGAAAGGTAGCAACATAATCCAAAAACACGTCAAAATGCTCACCAAACAATTCATAACCATTGTATTGAATAAACTTGGTTAATGATTCTAATAAAAGCCCAGTATCTCGTTTGAGATGGCACAGCATTTTCAAATGGATGGTCTGTAAAGATTTCTCAAAAACTTCATCTTCTGCCATTGAATCAAACAATCTATAGATTTTTTGAACTTGTGATTGGTCCAATATTTGTTTCCCCTTCAAACCTTTAAGTAAACCTAATGACAAATAAAGTCTTGCTGGGGCAAAAATAGAGGTCAAATCAACTAAAAGGTCGAGCAATTGGGACACAACTTGTTCAAATTTATCTGAATTTCTTAATGATTTCAGCAAACTGATGATGAAGTTTTCAAGTCTCAATCCATATTCGCAAATTAATTTATTGTTTGTCTTTTTCACTAAAAAATGTGGGGCCTCAACTGCATATCTTAAAAACACAGAGGTCAAGTACTCATGAGCATAAATAGGCAAACGGTCCACTGAACAGGATAGCATTATATTCAATGAAAATTTTCTAACAGATTCCATTGACCCTTTGAACCCAGTAGATAATAACACCATACCCCAGCTAGATTTGACAAAAGAATCAGGTGACAACAATTGATGAATATCACTCTTTGCAGCTTCAGCTTGATTTAAAGCAGTATCAATACCAACGATTTCAAACAAGGTACAATATTTCTTCCATTCCTCCAATATTTGAGAAGATGACTCCTTGTTATAATACATAAATTCATTATCAACATCTATATCCAGTTGTTGGATTGATAATTTCAAGATTGAAAGGCAGTATTTTCTATGCTCATGAACAGTACTTCCCATACCATTTTGTATATATCTCCAGTACTGTCCTTTTTGTAGTTTGTGGTTTAAAATTTCACTCGTTAGCTGTTTGGAGGAAAAGTTTGTAAGGTATCTCAACCATAGTATGTAACCATTGGAAATGTGAATATTGTCTCCTGATTCCATCAAACAAGGTATTAAATCCCAGATGAATGTTTCTGGCTCTGGCACAGAAGAGTCCCTCCATCTTAATAATTTGGTAGCTTTGGTTGATATGGAAGCATCTTGAATTGTCAATAAGAAACAAATCAGCATATCAAGACTGGCAGAAACACCTCCAACTTTCAAGGAAAGAAGTTTATCCAAGGATTGCAGTATATTTACCAGTGATTCTTCTTCTAAATGCATCATCTCTTCATCTATTTGAGGCTCAATATGATTTCTGAACACTTCAACAGCGGCAGCATTACATAGAAAATTGAGTCTCATTTTAATAAGAGAAACGATTGCTGTAGCTATCCATTTCATAACTTGCTGAGAAACATTTGGCAATTTTAGTAAAAGCAAAAATATTTGACCATCTTCATTGTTCTCTAGCACGAATCTTTGGCATTGATCTCTAATCAGTGGTGATATTTGAGATAGAGTCTCTTGGTCAATAAGGTCAATAACCTCCAGTAAGGCATTCACAGAGTCAGCATCTGTCAAGTTCTTGGAAAGGTCAGCAGCAAGCTGATTAAGCTGATCTGGGCTCAGGTAGTTCGCCAATAGCTTAGCACTTTGCATCTTCAAAAGAGCAGTCGCTCAACTGAACTGGACTCTTCTGATCATGAACTTCATCATGAGTATTTTTTTTTCAATCCCGAACGAAAGTAGAAAGGTTACGAGGCCCTTGTCGCGATGAGATTGTTTTATCGTTGCAAAAGGGGTCAAACAAAGGACTAGCCACTCAAACTCAAACGTATTCAACAATCAACTTATCAACTGCTCAGATATGTCAATTCAAGAAGAGGATAACAGTCCGTGTGCTCAGTCCACGGTTCTCCAAGAAGACGAGTTTATTGACTTACCTTTGTCACAGGATGAAGATGAGGATTCCCAAGAACCAACCCACAATGAGGAAGAATTACAACAGGATAATGAGCCAGAAAGTGACACAAACGATGTGCCACCAGACTCCCCAACTACGTTATCAACTGCAAGCCAACCACAATCAGCTCCAGCAGTAGCTAGCAACACGACAACATACGACCCAGAAGTCTACACCTCAACAACCCAATTGGCGTTCAAAGATAAGAAGTCGTTGAAAATTGAAATAATCGATGCTGGCAAAAGCCGTGAAGGTCACAGCAGAGGATATATTGTTTATACAATCAAGTGTAATGATTCGCTGGTAAGAAGACGTTACAGCGAGTTTGAGAGTCTTAGAAACACATTGGTCAAGCTATTCCCGACATTGATAATTCCACCAATTCCTGAAAAGCACAAGATATCAAAATATGCTGCTGCTCCAACGAAGGCCAAAGAGGATACAAGAATTATAGACCATAGAAGACGAATGCTATCAGTTTTTTTGAAAAGGCTATTGGAGATTGATCAAGTCCGTGAAAGTCAAGTTTATCAGAGCTTTTTAGATCCAAATGCCAATTGGCCAGAGGTGCTGACTTCTCCTCCTATTTCGGATATACCAAAGAATATACTACAGGCAGATCCACTGGATCCTGCTCATTCCACTGCAGCTCATTCATACTTACCTCTCCCATCAAGTACTGTTATTGTGGTCAAGGAAACTCAAGAAGATAAAAAATTCAATGAAGTTGAAGCTAACGCCAAAGAATATGAAGCAGTTATATCGAATGGTATTGATAAAGCTAATAAAAGAATTGTGAAACACCTTAGTGATATGTCTACTGAGTTCTCAGAAGCCGGGGCTGGTTTCAACTCATTTAGTTTACAAGAAAATGGGAAATTGGCATCTACACTTGAAAAAGTTGGTCAAGTTCATGACAATTGTTATTTATCAACTGAAACTTTGGTGAACTCTTTAAATTATGAATTTACTGAACCATTGGGAGAGTCCGTTCAATTTGCTTCAGTGGTGAAAGATATCATAAAGTTTAGACAACAAAAAGCATTACAGCTAGATATCACAGCTAGAACATTGAAGCATAAATCTAATCATCTAAACTTACTACAAAAATCTGAGCAAGAATCTAAGAGAATTGATCAAGCTTTGGATGCTGAAAGCGGTAAAACACAGCAGATCAATTTTGATAGAAAACAAGCTGCAAAAGATGCACAAGCTAAAGCTAACCAAGATGCTGGTTTGAATCAGAGTGTCACTCCGTTAGAACCAAAGAAGTCATCAAAGTTCAAAATCCCTGGAATTTCAAAGATTAGCAACGTTATCAAGGAAGCTATTGAATCGGATCCTGAGGTTACACGCCAACATAATCTGACAAAGACAAAGGATGATATAAATCAATTGAAACAAACTGTCACTGCAGCTGAAGAAGACTTAGGGAAAGTTACTAAATCAATCAAGAATGAGTTGGAGAGATTCCAAATATCGAAGGAAGAAGACTTGAAGAAAATGATACTGGCTTATAGTGCTTGCGTTTTAGATTGGTCAAAGAAGAATCTTGAATTCTGGGAAGAGGCCAAAGCTGATTTACAAAAGGCATAAACCAATGGTTTGAAATTTGAGCGTAATATTCATGAATTATGAGCGAACTGAATACAAACTGACTAATTATGGACTCGGATCACAACAATATTCATTTTCGATTGTAGCTCTGTCCTTCTCTTTTCTGTATAGAAACTTCACTCGCTTTTGAGTTTGAAGATTTTTCCTGCTCACAGTGCGTTGCCATGGAGACAGCTCTCGGAATATAATCAATACCTGATCGAATAAACAACCAACAATCCCATTTCGGCTCATTAAATCACTAGTGAGCCCTTGAGCTCTACATAAGGCCTAAATATTAATAAACACATTGTCATTTGATTGTTCTTGAGCTTTTCCCTTGGTTTATTATGAAACGTTGATGACATAATCTATTGACATATTTCCCGATTCGTCATGTGGTGTGTACCGTATCTCAGATCTCTATTTACTAGTTCAACCTTCAAAAACTCATCTCATCTGAAATACAAAGAAAGTTATATCATATTTTAAGGGTTTCAATAGAGCTAAACACGTCCTCGTCAATAAGAAAACCAGTGTGAACAAGGTTATGTCAGTTCCCCAGCCGCCTTTTAGGGTTAGAACAATTTATTCCTGGAGTGGTGTTGAAGAAGATGATCTTGGTTTCATTGAAGGTGATATAATAGAAGTTGATAGTTTAGGTGATGGTAATTGGTGGCATGGAAGGCTGAAGAGAAACAAAATGACTGGAAGTTTTCCTTCAAACTATGTTGAACTGATCAAGACAGATTTGAAGAACTTCAGTCCATCGATTAGAGCAAAGAATAGCAGTCAAGAGAGTTCACCAATTAGAGAAGTTCAAGCTAGTGTGCGTCAAACTCCTACTACTTCAAGAATTGCCTCACCATACTCAAGTCCAAGCGCAAAAGCATCAGTCCTGTCTCAGAGAGCTTCAAGACATCCATATATTGCATCGTATCCTGAGAATGAAGAAGTTGATGATCTTCAATTCAGTTTCCAATCTTCTAGAAATTATTACACACCTTCACAAAACACGTCAAACACGTATAACCCACAGAGTCCTTATCCTACTGAGCAAACTCACCTTTCATCACAAAGATCCTCACAACAACACCTGCCCCATTCATATTCGGTTCCAGTTAGGTTAGAACAACAACAGGGTTATGTCGATAAGATTAATCCTCATACTCTTCAATCACCAATTCATAATTCATCAAGCACAACAAGACTACAGATGTATGCCTCACCTCCTCCTCCATTACCACAGCATTCAGTTCCAGTGAAATCACAGTCTAGTCAAAACCTCAAATCGTTTGACCCATTTGCCCCAGGAAATCCATACAGTAAGAATGATTATTCCAGCAGAAAGTCAGCACTCTTAAAACAAGCAGCTCATAAGAACATGAGGGATTCACAATCAACCGATTTTGTTGCTCCATATGATCCAGATAGTTTAAATCAATCACGTTCCTCAACTTCACAATCATCAAATGTTTTCAGTTATTCGAATGGTTCATATTTCACAAATTCATCAAACTCACACAATAGTTCATATGCATTGAGTGATTTCAGTGCAACTAGTGCTGGTAGTTTTGCCAGACATAGATATGAAGAACAATTGAAACAAAAAGAAAACCTTCAGTCCAGTGGATCTGGTAGTCATTTGTTGGTTGAAGATAGAAAATTGAAAAAACCAAGTGGAATCTTCAAAAAAATGTTCTCTGCAAAAGATGTTCCACCTTTGCCATCTGTTGAAAATTTGACTTCAAAAGTTGATGGTATGAATATGGAAGATAAAGAAATCAATTCATGGATAGAATTAAAAGTTGATTTGAACAGAGCAAATTCTTTGGGCTCCAAAGAACGTCAGTTGAGAGAAAAACGAGTGAGAGAAAATGAAGGTTATATCATTTTTGAACCACATAAACAATTATCTAATATCAATAATAATGAAGTCTATCAAACTGAACAAAAATTTGACCTACATGCCTTTAATTTGAAACATGTTGATAACTATGTTAGAAACTTGCAGATCAAACAAACTGTTCTTTCACCAGAAGCATTCATCACAAATGAGCTAGGTTTGAAATACACTAGTAAATTGGAGTATTTAAGAGCTCTATTCATTTTTTGTACAGAACATTTTACCATTATTGATAGTGCATATTCAAATGAAGAGTACATTCCAAATGTTGAGTTGATTTTCAAACAGAGAGGTGCGGATACTTATGGTATGGCTTTTCTATTCAAGTGCTTAGCAGATTCAATGGGCTTAAACTGTGATATCATAGTTGGTTCTTTAAAAACTCCACAATCTATCGTGAAACACTATTGGAATGCTATTGTTATAAATGGTGAATGGAGGTTTATTGATGTGTCATTGGGTAACTTGACAAATCCAGTTTACGAAATTTTAGCAAATCAACCAGATGAACCTAATGAATCATTTTATTTCTTGACAGAGCCATTGGATCTAATTTATACTCAAATTCCAGATAGATTTGAAGATCAGCACATTGTTCCACCAATTGATCAAATGGTAGCGTTAGCATTACCACCTTGCTTCCCTTCATTTTTCAAAAATGGTTTAAAGATTCAAAAGTTCAGTAATGCGTTGACAAGATTAAAAGATTTTGAGATTTTTGAAATTGATCTAAAGATTCCGAAAGATATTGAAATTAATGCAGTGGTTCAAACAAAAACTTCGCTCACAAACACTCTTGCACAAGTTTATTGGAAGCATAATGAAAGATATTGTAAGATCAAAGGGCACCTACCTGAAAACAACCCAACTGGTTTCATCAACATTTATTCAGGTTTAAAAGGTACTCAAAAATCAATTCAAAACATCCATCCTTTATCTATGGTTATCCCAGTGGTACATGAAGGTGAGTATAGGCCACTAGACTTTGTGATTAGATATCCAACAGTTCCAGCACAGCTGAATGATTTATACATTAAACAACCACAAAATAGAAACCTATCCTGCAGGGGTGAATATGTCTTTAGTGTTTCACAGTATCCATCCAATGGATTAGCAAGTCCACCAGCAAGAACCAAAATAGCACTTCAATCCCCATCAGGAAAGATAACAAGATTCATCAAAAAAGATCAAAGCACACCATTTGGTTTATGGGAGCTACCTGTGAAATGTAATGAAATTGGAACCTGGAGAGGTTTGGTTTCTGTTGATAATGGAACTAGTCTTTGCGTTTTTGCTGAATGGTCATGCCATTAATCATTAGAACATAAAACAACAACATTTTAAAACACTTTTAGAGTCATCTTTACTCATTACTGTTAATTTTTAATTGATAATTTAGCATTCTTATTTGCATGGTTTTGTAGTAGTTTATGTGATGCCCAATACGGAAATGTTCCGTTTTCGGATGTTTTTATTAGATTACATAATTTTCAATTTTTTGTATGTTTATTTCTTTCGAACCAAACAGCTGGATCTTGATCATTAAACACTTGAAAGCATCACAACATTGGTTGATTTTTGTTGAGCAATGACCTCTGATCTTGAGATCTCTGATGCTTCTGGATTACAGGATCCAGTGATATTGGCAAAGTTTGCTGATGCGTTGAAAGATTTCAAGTTGCATAAGACACAGGATGTTTTCGACGTTGTTAAAGAATTCAGGTCAATAACAGCATCAAAAGCTTACGAAGTCTCCACACAAAATCCAAATTCTTCTGAATATTTGAACTGGGAACTTGAAGCAAAACTTTGGCACCTGGTTGAACTCTTGGTTAATTATAGATATTCTGAGGAATCAGAAAAACTTGAAACATATAGCTTCAACTCAAATATTGTCTTTGAAGAAAATTTTTATAAAGAAAGCTCTAAATTACGTGAAATATGGTTAATGATTTTGTGGTTACAAGAGAGTGCAATTGAACCTGAAAGACCTAATTTATCAAGCTCTAAATGGCTTAACACTCAATTATCCCATGCATTAGAAAACCTTGATAGTGATGCCCCAATACGTTTGAACAAGAGTATAAATCCAAAAGATCAAGAACAAGATAGCGTTTTTTACAAGTACATCTTTGAATTGATCTTGGCTGGGAGATTCGATGAAGCGCAAACTGAATGTATGAGAACAAACAATTGGACTTTGAGAATGATTCTATCAGGTTTAAATGAATATTTAGATCCGGTTATCGATAAGCAAATTGAGCAAATCGATGAAAACACACAGGGTATCAAAAAGAAGGCACTTTGGAGAAGGACTTTGTATTTGTTATCAAAAAATGAATCATTGAACGAGTACGAAAAGGCTATATATGGATACTTGGTCGGTGATTTGAGTCCGTTGAAATTAGCAAATACCTGGGATTCACAGTTATTGATTTATTTAAACCACATTTTAACAAGTGAAGTTGAGAATTCGCTAATAGAGAATGATAGAATTGACAAGGAAGACTTGATACTTACAATCCCAAAGAGTGATCTAACTGTTCAGGATGTTCTAAATTCAATCTCGCAAAAATTAAAAGAAGAAAGTGAACACCCATTGCGCGTTTTGATTGCCTCTGTTTTATCAAACAAGATAGGACCAATTATCCACTCTTCATTAAGTCTTGTTGGAAGTGTTATGCTGGGAAAAGATGAAGTTAATGAAATATTTGGTGAACCATATGCCTTGAGAATCGTTACACATTTGGCTATTTTCATCTCAATTATAGATCCTTCAGCAATCAGTAGTGAAGACAGATCGAAGCTATTAACAACATACATCTTGGTGTTAAGACTTTATGAACAATATGATTTAATTCCAGTCTATGTCTCATTCCTTTCTGAAGTTGAAGCAAGAGATGCTTACTCGTTATTCTTAATTGATTTATTCGATTCCAAACAGAGAACAACACAATTAGAATTAAGCAGACTATACAATTTACCACTAGAAAATATATTGAAGAGAACAGTTGAAAGAGTTTTCAGTCTTACTGAGGAGCATTATCAAATTAAATCTGGTGTTACCCTTCAAGATATTGATGAAGTTGATAACAAGTTGATCAGTGGTGTTGAGTGGTTCATTGAAGCAAAAATGTATTCAGATGCCATCCATGCTGCAGTTTCACTTTTCAGAAGATTTTTATTAACTGGTCGAACAAAAGCTGCTCAAGAATTTGCATCAAGAAACTCATTATCACAATTGTTGAAAAACTATGACGTGGAACAATACGGTGTTTTGGTTGATAAGGAAGTGTCCCAATTCGAAAGAGAAGAACTATTACAATATGATGCTCTTGTCAAAGGTTTTATTGCAATTGATGAGTGGAGAAGTAAACCAAAGATTGGAGGTGCTGTCACAAACATTGAATATATCAACACAATCACTCAAGATCTTCGTTCATTGATAGGCTCTGTATTTTTGGAACTATCAGAAACGGATTATGAGGTTGATATTGTCCAAGAATTACGTTCACTTTACATTCCATATTTAATCATTCAATTGCACACCATATATGTTGATGGTAGAAAGTTCAGAGCTTCCTACTTGAGAGAAGCTTTGAATATGGTAAACACAGTTGCCAGTGAAAGTTCCAAATTCTATATTTTGTTCCAAAATTGTGGAAGGCTTAAAGAATATTTGGCTCTTGTTGCTGATTGTGCTGCGTTAGCTGTCGGTGAAGGATTTTAAGTAAGTTTAATGTTTTTAATAATAAACTACATTTGTTTAGTGATCTCTTTCTGATAGTAGTATACATTCATTATCTATTTTTTTTAGTTCAATGTGGCAGCTTTCTCATAAAGTAACTCGACAACATCAGACATATGGTTAACCAATTCTAAACTGGAGTCATATGTAGCATCAACTTTTGGTTTATCATAAATATATAGCCAACCATTACCTTGATCCAAAACACCATAAAATACTTCATCCAAAATCATTTGACTTAATTTACCTTCAACTTGTTTTATATCGAGGCCAATCATTTTGGAGATGTGGGAGATTTCGACAACTGAAAATGGTTCAATCAATTTAACCAAATTTTGTTCCAACAAAGTGTCATAAAGAGCATTGAAATGAGATTTAATTATAGGATCAGAAGATAGTTCTTTGCCGTAGACAAACAAAGCTTGTTCAAACTCTTTCAAAGATCTGTTAGCATATGCTTGAGATACGGCCTTCATGGCATCAATATCTTTTGAGGTATATTTGGATGCATATTTGGAAGACAATATTTGTTTAACATCATCAATTAAATTGAGCATAATCTTGGATAACAACATATATTTCAAGACTCTGATTGAATTTTTTTCATCGCTTTGTGTGTTGTAACTTTCAAAAGCTTCATAGAAGTATGAAAATGCAGTTTTGTAATCTTTATCTTCAGCATGTAAAATACCACTCATGTTGTCCAATTCTGCTTGAGTCAATGTTGGACAATAAATGGAATTGGCTGATGTTCTAGCTGATGTCAATGCAGCTCTTGCTTTAGCCAAGTTTCTTAAAGAATGATATACCTTTGCTTCTAATAATTGGACCTCAACAAGAGATGGTTTATCGTCTAGTTTCTTGAATTCTCTTAATAGTTCGTTGATAATTTGTAGGGCATTTTGGTAAGCTTGTTTCTTTTCAAAATAGATTGTAGCAAGTCTTAAACGTAATGACTGGTTCAAAAATGATCTTTTTTCCTTTACAGACCATGCAATTGAGTCTTTCAAAGCAGCGATTTGAGAGTCTGTTGCATCTGGAATTTGGTCAAACAAATCAATCAAATAACGAATTGTCTTAGCAGCTTTTGATTTAGCAAAGCTACTTATGACTGATCTTGCTTCTGGAATGAATTTTGTAAGTTTTTCTTTGGCTTTTTCGTTTTTGTAAAGGTCACCTAACTCAAAGATTGCAGTTTCTTGATTGGAGAAATCATGTGTAGATGGTTTTGTTGAAATGATTTGTTGGTAAAGTTCTTCAGCTTTGGCAACATCTTTTTGCTTAACAGCGACTCTTGCGTCTTCTAAAGTTGGTGCAGTCATCTTGGATTTCAACAATTGAGCTTTCAGATGACAAGGCAGCAAGTCTTAATGTTTTGTATTGTGAATGCTTCAATCACTCTTGGTTAGCTTGATTTTGCCATCAAGATTTCCATTCAACTTGAATTCGCGAATTGTGTTTTGGTTACCCTCAGTAAGTCTGGTTTGCGCAGCACTCGATTTCGAGTTTTTTTTTGTTTTGATTTTGACGAAGATGAGCTGGTTCTAAAGAGAAGAAGGCTATTGATTCATGGGCAATTTGGTGTCAGCTTGTTAATTATCCAATTCTGTCTAATCTGCTGTTATGTTTGGGAATAGAGAAGCAGACCAGTCGTTTTCCAAGGACCTTTTTGGGAGCTCATACCAGAACAATTTTGACATCTTCAAGAGCACTGATAGTCAACAATCCAGATTTTCCTCTTTGAAAGCTAGAAATTTGGACCCTTCAGACAGATCTACAGATGATATCAACAGCCCTGCTAACACCAGTGCGACTCAGACGTACTCTCCAAATAGAAGAGTCCCTACACACAGTCAATCTTTTGATTTGAGCTTTGATTCACCAAATCCATCAGTAGCTACCATAAATCAAAAAACAAATGCTGCACAACAACAAACACAACCATTGTGGTTCAACAACCCAAGAAGACGTATGATCCCATCACAGGCTGTCAAAAGAGAAAGCTTTAGTGATATAGATAATGAGTCTACATCTTTTTTGAACAAATCCAAACCTAATTCAACTTCGAACCCTGGATTCAAAACATTAACTTTTGGAACAAGAAGAACAAATGCTCAATTGGCCCATATAAATGCATTTTCAGATGAATTACCACCTTCTAGAACAATTTCAGACTTAAAAAGAGAAGATTTATCAGAAGGCCATCTTTCGTTCGCTAATGACACGGCAAATGGTAATGCAAGTTTGATCTCCAATAATGGAGTTAAGGAAGGAAACAAAAGTTTCTTACAAAGCAATGGTGGTACTCCATTGAAATATTCTTCCCAAAGCATACTCCCTCCATATTTAACTAAACAAGGTGAGTCGTCATCTAACCTCTCAACACCTTCAAAATCATTTGATAGCCCTCAACCACCAAGCTCAAGCCCACTAAGACCAGATACAGAATCCGCTGTCCTGGTTTTCGGCTATCCTGAGTCAATTGCAAACTCTGTCATTAAGCATTTCGCCAAGTTTGGTAGAATCTTGGAAGATTTTGAAGTTACAAGAGTGGACCCATTATTCACAAAACAAAAATCCAAGACTTATCCAATTTTCACTGGTGAAGGCTGGATTAAAATTACATATGACAACAAGGCATCAGCAATGCGCGCTTTAGAGGAAAGTGGTACTGTTTTTCACGGCACAATGATTGGGTGTGTTCCATATTCAAAGCAAGCTATTGAAAATATAGCATCCATTTCAATTTCAAATAATGAAAATATTGGAGAAAGTGATCTTGTTCAACAGCAAGCAAACCCAATGCAACCTGATGGGCTTTCTCATTATACAAATAATTTCCAACATAGAATTCAAGCTAAAACTGATGAACAAATTTTTGTCAAACCAACCAAAGAAACAAAAGGTATTTATTCTAAAAGAACAGAGGCTAAGTCAAGCGAAGGTGAAGGTAAAAATGTTTTGAACAAAGTTAGCAACTGGTTCTTTGGATGGGAAGACCTATGATTTGATTAAAACCTTGACCTACACGAAGGCTTAAAAAATGTAGTATGAACATGCATGGTGAGTATATAACTAACTAGATTTCTTATATGATGTAAACTATAATAATATAGGTGATGAATTTGCTTTTTTTGATCTTAACTTTTAGAACCCTGGATGTGATTTTCTTGATAATGGTGAAGGATGATAAGATGTTGTAAATCTAGAACTTCTTGGAGTAAATACTGACTTTCTCAATGGTGTAGATTTCTTTACAGGAGTAAATTCACCTTGTTCAAAAGTCTCCACTGATTCCCTTCCCTTGTAATCATGAGTTTTAAAAAGTTTCTCTGTTCTTCCTGGTGAATAATATTCAATTGAATCATTATACGGACCATGGGTAGCATCAATTGCCACTTCCCTCTTAGCCACGGATAGTTTTGGATTCACATACTTTCTCTGGTATTCATCAAATGTCTCCTGATATAGGACCTGTTTATCTTCTATCAAGACCAGGTATCCTTTAACAATGACAAAATATAAAACCAAAGACGTGGAAAATAGAAACACCAAGTTTTTGAAGGATGATTGTGACAGATATAAAAACAAAATATTGAACGGTGGGAATGAAACAAATAAATATGTTGAGAACTTGGAAGGGTTCCAGATGTTGAGCTCCCAATATGATTCAATCTCAGGCTCTTCGGTTTTCTTCCAGAATTGTAGTAGATCAAACAATGATCTCGAAGAGCCATCTTTTGATATTTTTCTGGCTGATGACGTGTGTGAAATAGAAACCTTGTTGAATATGGTATATTTTTTTGTTTTCAATAAAAAGAATGATGTGTTTAGAACGTTGATTGTGATGATTATAAGCTGTAGCATGAACAATAGCTTGGGTATGACTGAGACATCTGATTTATTGAAATACTTTGAGTCTCTCAACAATTGCTGCTTATGATAGTCAAAATACATTTGCTTCTTCTCTACAACGGTGTTGTCTTGCCATAGTCTAAGGAAGAAATAAGTTACTGTCAGTAACACACCAAACGGTAAGGCAAAGGTCTTTGAATATGAATCCCAATCTATAAGCTCTCTCTGTTCATTTAAAGCCAGCAATAAATCAAATGGGTATGACTTCAGCTTGGATGCTAAACTCTGTTTTCTAACAATTCTTCTAGGAGGCATTTTCAATCAATCAAGTCAATATCAATGGAGCAGTTGCCTCTTCAGCTACATTATAATTGTTGTTAAAATCTTTGTATTTACATTTTTACATATTCCGACTATTTACATCGGATCTTCATTTATTAGGTCAAGACTTCAATCTTTTGATCTGATCCTATTTCGATTGACATCTCATCATTTCCAACTTCAAATCTTTCTATCAGCAATATCACACTATCAGTAGGTGAGATGATTGCTTTCTTTAGCCAAATCCCATAAATTGAATCATCAAACTCGGTGTTAATTTGAATTGGTCTTCCATCCGAATAGAATAAACTAGCACGAATTTTGGGTCTGTAACTTGAATAGAGATTATCAGTCCATATGTGAACTTTGACAGGAGTTTCACGTTTCACCTGAAATTTCAGCTTGAATCTATTCTTATTGTTCCAATCAAATTTAAAAGTTCTTAGAAAAAGACCAAGTCTGCTGGACAACTTTTGAATAGATAGACCAACGTTTGAATTGATCAATAATCTAAAAGGTGCTAGAATATCAGTGTCATATGTTGACATCACCAGTTTATATTTTTGCCCGCTTTTCAACTTTATGCATTTTGTCATAGAGCCAGCATGGTATTTCTCATGAATTAACGACGCTTTTTCACTGAATGGTTTATCATCATCCCAATACAACTGCAAATTCAAAAGGACATCTTTGTTTGAGAACAATCCAAAAATAACTTCGACATCTTGTCCTGCTTCGGGTACTTCAATTTGATATTGTGGGTTTTTGACATAACTCTGATGAGACCAATTACCACCACATGAATCAACATCCCACTCATCTTTAATACTTTTCAAAAACGGATACTGCGCTTTGGCTTTAGTTAAAGATACCCTTTTCGATGAGTATGCATGAATTGAGAAGTTTTGGGTTTGTTTTGAATCATTTGTGACAACTATGGTAGCACTCTGCCCTGCACCAAGCTTAAACTTTGATAAATGGAAGCCACTATTATTAGATGAATTGTAGACCAGAGATTTCCCTTTCGAAAATAACTTTTGGCCGTTACTTTGGTATACTAAAACATTGATAGATGATTGTTCAAATCCCATAAACTTTTCTATAAGTATCCAAACTTCAACTGTTGCGGGGTTGTCATTAGTGACACTGAATTGTGGATTGTTGAAAAAGATATCATCATTGTACGTCCAAATAAAGTTCATCTGAGTATGAATAAAGTTCGATGGATTCCAATTGATGTATAAAGTTTCAAAATGATCAAATAACTCTTCAAATTTCACAGCCCTTATACTTTCTTCCCAAGGATTTTTGATGACTATTGACCTTGTACTTTCAACAAGCTCCAAGATTGAGTAATCATGATTTGGATAATAATATTCGGAATGTTTCCCTGTGCCTAATGAGAGCACAAGCCTGTTATTTTGGAACGAATCATATAAATCTTCCCATAGTGAATTTAAATCAACTCTTTGATCCGCGTGTATGAATTGTGGTATCCATCCGGATACTACATAAGTGTCTATACTAGCATTTGATCCCTTAGCTTCGTAGCCATGGCCTTGAACTTTCAAGTATGCCTTCTCTATAAGTGAAACCCACAGCAGATGTTCATTGCTTCTGGACTTGATATAAAGACATTCTTTGGACAACACTGGGAGTTGATCCCCAATTTCAACAAGCCTCTGACAACCATTAAAATGCAGTGTAACACCATACCTCTTCGAAGATTTGTGGGGATATATTGTATTGAGTAGCAGCTTTGAGTTAAACTTTGAGAGGGAAATTAAGGATGCAACAAATGAACAATCTTGTAAATAATCTTGATAAAGGTGGTCAATTCCATCTAAACTCCAATCATTGTCGTTATTAATCGACTTCCAGCTTGTGAGCTTCGCCGTTTGATCTTCGGATAGATGAAGCTCATCATTCAATTCCTCATCAGCTATAAACGAGTGTTTTAAAATTGCTGGAGGGAAAAATCCACCGTTTACGCTGGAGCTCAACCATGTCAGTTTCTCATCAAATGTTAGGTACTTTGAATTTGAAATATTTTGATAGAATTCTATGGCATCATTGCAGATTTCTTTCAAAATGACCTTATCATGGGCACCATCTTTTAACACACTATTCAATAGATTGATTGCCTCTATACCTAGCTTTTTCGCGTTTGCAGTTGCACCAAGTGCGTACTGGTACTTTGCACGCTCTAATATCCGTAGTGCTTTTGGTACATTGTCCTGTTCCATTCTATTATCTCTCTGCTTTTTGGCACATCTTGAGCTGATGTCCTTTTTTATCGATTCCACGTCCAAATTCCGCCCCAAGTTTAAAATGAAGTTCTTGTTCGCCCATAACAAAATGGCAGATTTGGCTCATCAGAGATTTTCAAATTGCCTAATTTAGAGCATACAAAAGAGAGAGAAACAACTTGAAGAGCCTTGAAATGAGGTACAACTGGAGTCTGGGGGCTAAAGTATAGAGATTTTGAGGTTAAGCATATTCGAGTTAGTCAATAAATAGAGAGCAAAATGTCGTTGGGCTTTGAGTTGAAAGGTAAAGCTCAGTTTTTACTGAAACTACTTGGTAGAAAACGAGTTGTTGAATTCACAGAGGTTGAAGAAGAAGACGACAATTTACAATTTGATTTATTAGTTGAAATGTCTGAAAACGGAAAGTGCTTTGAGGAAGAACTTCTAACAAAGACTACTGAGGATCAGAAAGAAACAGAAGATGCTATTGCAAAAATTTATGATGACATTTTGGAGAGTGGGAACCTACCACATTTAATGAAAATAAAACATGCCAGATTTTTACAAGCTGGTCTTTCACAATTACCACCGATGTTCAAGGCATTAGATGCATCACAGCCATGGATATTATATTGGTGCTTAAACTCTTTGAACCTTTTAGGAATAGACCCTCCGCAAGATGTGAAGAAACAAATTGTGAGCAAAGTTTTGGCCCTTCAACATAAAGATGGTGGTATTGGAGGTGGTTTAGGTCAGTTTGGTCATATTGCCTCAACTTATGCTGGTATTCTAGCTCTAGCAATTGCAGGTGATGGAGAAAGTTTCAATAGATTGGATCGTAAGAAGATGTACGAATGGTTGATGAGTCTGAAGCAGAAAGATGGTTCATTTGTTATGCATGTTGGTGGTGAGAAGGATACAAGAGCAGTTTATTGTTCACTCGTTGTCGCTTCTTTGCTTGATATAATAAGCGAGGAGTTAGTTGAAGGTACTGCTGAATGGCTAGCTCAATGCCAAACATTTGAAGGTGGGTTTGGAGGTGCTCCGTTTGATGAAGCTCATGGGGGGTATACATTTTGTGCTGCTGCTGCCCTGTTAATCTTAGGCAAAGAAGTACTTTTAAAACATATTAATTTAGAAAAACTTATCCAGTGGACAGTAACGAAGCAATTGAGCTTAGAAGGCGGCTTTTCGGGTCGTTCAAATAAACTAGTTGATGGTTGTTATAGTTTTTGGGTTGGTGGTTTGATACCTATGTTTGATATTTTGGTAGGAAGTGAAGTTGCATCTAGAGCTGCCTTACAAAATTACATACTTTCGTGCTGTCAGCATGAACAAATGGGCGGTTTAAGAGACAAACCTGGCAAAAACCCAGACTTTTATCACTCAAACTATGTCTTGCTAGGTCTAAGTGTTGTTCAAAATAAATTTGCTATTGATCAAGACCAATTGGAGAGAAATGAAAAGATAAATTCTCTAGATTCTCTAGCATATTCAATTTCCTCAACCCCAATAGATCCTTCAGTTGTGAAGGCGGAAAAGGAGGATATAATCAAGACCATAAACCCAATATTTGGTCTTCCTGAAGGTGTTGCCGAACACTTCAAAGCTCATTATGTATCTCAGAAAGAATAAATGGATCTTTAAAAATTTAACCAAATGTAGTTATAAGAATTAGGTGTAAACCAAGCACAAAACGCATTCGCGAAAGTATAAAGTCAAAATTACAAAGGCGAGAAATCAAACGACAAGATTAACAAGCTATTGCAAAGTAGTGCAATTAGCTGAACATCGTCAGAGATCAGGGATATTTGTTAAACGAAATCGGCATTGTCCTACTATCCTCGGCTGCTTGAGAGATGGATACATTGACAAATAGCGAACAAGAAACCGTCCTTCAGTTTATCACCATAACCAATTATCCTCAAGAACCACACACAGCTATTCATTACTTATTGGAGTCAAACTGGGATTTAGAAAGAGCTATCATCAGTTATTTTGAAACTACACCAGAAGCCAACGAAATCTTAAATCAAAACGCAAGAAGAGTACAGCTGAATAATCCAGAAAATACCATTGATAACAACATGAGCACACCGCCAGCTTCATCTTCTTCAAACAATAGATATTTCCCTTCCAATTTTATGGACTCCATAAGAAGAAAGATTGAATCATTTGGGTCAAGTCATGACCAATATTTACCAATTTCAAATAATGATGCTTCAACTTCTAGAGGGTTCCTCTCATTATCTTCCAAGGGCAAAGTGACATATATTACACAACTGATACTTTATCTCCCAGTACTGGCACTTTACAAAATTTCAGCAATTGTTTTATACATCATCACAACGGTCTTTCCCTTTATCAAGAAAATCACAGATCGTTATTCATTGAACAGGCACAGCTCAAGATCAGAACCAAAAGGAATTGACCCAAGTCACACTGCTAGAAACTTCATTTCCGATTTTAATAACTTTTATCTGAGTGATAATAAAATCGATTTTTTTGAAGGTGGTTACACCTCAGCACTTTATATTGCTAAACGAGATGCAAGATTTTTGTTAGTTTACCTACACAGTGATGAACATGATGATACGAATACATTTGTTAATGAGACCTTGTTGCATGAAAGTTTTATAAACTTCCTGCGAGAGCATAACATTCTAATTTGGGGCGGTAACGTTCGAGAAAGTGAAGCATATCAAGTATCAAATATTCTTGGAGTGAATAAATATCCATCTTTGGCTCTTTTGAGCTTGAAAACTCAAACAACTGAAACTCCTGAAGGTACAACAACATCGCCTCCAGCTTTAAGTGTGATTTTGAAAACACAAGGTTTGATTCCTGTTGATAAATTAGTTGACAAATTATCCAGTCAAATTGAAAGACTAGAGCCTACGCTTGTCACTATAAGGGCAGAAAGACAACAAGAAGAATTGGCTCGTGTTATCAGGGAACAACAGGACCAAGCATATCAACTTTCATTACAAAGAGATCGTCAAAGGGAAGAAGAAAGAAGAGAAGAGAGATTACTGCAAGAGATTACAGATCAATGGCTTAAGTGGAGAGCATTCACCCTAAAACCTGAAGTCGACGCATCAAAGAAAGGAGAGTATGCTAGAATTGCAATAAGGCTATCAACTGGTGAAAGAGTTTTGAGGAGGTTCGCCAAAGATGTTGCGATTGAAGAGATTTATGCATTTGTTGAGCTAAGTGAAAAAGGTCTGTTAAATTCGGGTGAAAACGTTCCAAAGCCTGAAGGCTTTATATATCCATACCTCTTCAAATTGATCTCACCAATGCCTAGAGCTCAGTTATTTCCTTCTAGAAAAACTTTGATCAAGGATGAACCTATTGTTTGGCCAAATGGTAACTTAATAGTGGAGTCCAATGATAGTTGATGATTATAATACATGTTTGGATTTCAGGTACTTTAGTTCTACTTTTCAATCACTAAATCAAGTATTGCATTCATTCTCATTAGTCTATTCGTACTTTTTTTTGACATCTCAAGCTTTGACTGTCTTCTTCTTCTTTTTACTTTTTTCCTTCTTTTTCAATCCAGTTGCACCAGTCTTGATGACTTGTGAATATTCTTTCCAAAATTTACCTAGGTGTTCTGAATCCACAGTTGTAGAGTACTTTTTCTTTTTAGATTTATCATTATTACCATCTGTAATTCTTATCAATATTGGGTATGATTTTGTGGATTTTCTGATTGTGGAATTAGGTAATATTGGTTTTGAATCATTAAATTGTGATATTTCGTCTTGTGTATCTTTTAGCCCATTCACTTGATCAACTTCACTAAGTCTTTTCTGTGTGATATATATTGATGATCTTGATTCATGAGATTGTTCAAATAGTTCAGCAGCAGCTTTCAGGAACTAAACTTTCAGTCAGCACATACTCTCAATATTCCCTGAATTCTTCATCATACATACCTCTATATTACTCAATAATGTCATATTTACTCTATTTCTTCAATACCTTTCAGACCATCTGCTTATTCTTGTCTCTGACATTGTCGTTGTGAGTTCAGTTTTCTTCACGCCAAAAAGCGCATGAGTTTCGCGACTTTTACCCTTCCTTTTAATAACTTCGGAAACTCGCGCCTTTTTCCTGTTAACTATGGAGAAGAAAAAAAGTCAACAACAACAACAACAACAATTGCCATTAATGGATTTCTAACAAACCCTTATCTCTGGATTCACTTATCACTCATATCTTGTTGATAACAGAGTAGTGATGATCATCACTATCCAATTTATCCCCTGATCCCAGCTTTGCCAGCCCTAATTAATAATGGAGCTCATCGTATTGTTTGTTTACGTTTTCCCCTTTCAAGAATATGCCAAAGTTTTTCAGATTTATGTATGGAACAAAAATACCATTCCATGATGAGATGGAGGCAGAGAGATGAACTGTGTCAATTTTTGTTTCAAGATTCATATTGTGACTTTTATCTATTCCCACACAGGTATATTTGTTTGCTTGTTCATCAATTGTATAAAAAGCTACAGCTTTCATCCAAGTTTATATACAAAACCCTACCTCCCAAGAGCTCAATTTCTTTCAATTCTTTATCCAATTGTTTTACTAATAGATTAAATCACACTCAATAATGCTAAGATGAGGTACCTCAGTGCTAATCAATTTGAAGTATACGAAGAAATAGGGAAAGGTGGATTTGGTGTTGTTTACAAAGCTCTCGACAAAGTTACCAAGTGCCCTGTTGCCATAAAGCAGATAGACTTAGAAAGTACGGATGATATAGACTCATTACAAAAAGAAATCAAGATCCTAAGTCAATGTAAGCTTAAACAGATCACACAATACTTTGGATGTTTTGTCAAAGGTTACAAATTATGGATCATTATGGAGCTATTGGATGGTGGTTCATGCCTTGATATGTTGGTCGCTGGTCCTATAAGAGAGAAATGCATTGCTGTACTGTTTAAAGAACTATTAATAGCATTGGATTATCTTCACTCAAATGGGAAAATACATCGTGATATAAAAGCTGCTAATATTCTGTTGAACTCTCAAGGTGATGTCAAGATTGCTGATTTTGGTGTTTCAACTCAATTGTCAAATAATTTATCAAGAAGAAACACATTTGTCGGTTCTCCTTATTGGATGTCACCGGAGGTCATTTTGGAGGAAGAATATAATTTCAAAGCTGATATATGGTCTTTAGGAATAACCGCCCTTGAATTGGCAACTGGGAAACCACCATTATCCAACATACCTCCAATGAAGGCACTCTTCAAAATACCAGAGAATGACCCACCAATTCTCGAAGGTCAAGAATTTTCACAAGATTTCAAACAATTTGTTGCGTTATGTTTACAAAAAAGTCCTCAGAATAGGCCAAGTGCTAAAAGATTAATGAAAACAAAATTTATACAGAATGCTGGTAAGACATCTATCGTTGGTGACCTAATCAAAAGGAGACAAGTTTGGGATGTTCAGTATGGGAAAATGTATGAAATGAGAAAAACATTTTATGTTCCAACTATTGACAAACCTTTAAATGAAACAAAAGAGAGTCCTGATTTCCAGTTTGATTTTGATACTGTTGAGAAACCAGTCTCAAATGTGATTATTACCAGAAAATCGCCATTAGGATTCCGTGGGAACAGTGTATTGAAGAAAAATTTGGCATTAAGACAAAACGATAACTATTTGAACACAAGTCAGATGGATACAAGTACAAGTTCAAATGCAAGTACTATTAAATATAACAACAGAAGGGATTTGGATTTGAAGCCAGGAGCTGAAATTGCAAGTATTTTCAAATCATCAGTTGAGAAAGTTGATAATAAACTTGACCTACCAGATCATCAAAAGGGGAAGTTGGATCAAATATCAAGATTACTTGCTGAATTGAGTGAAGATAATGATGATCTTGTATTGAAAGTTTACAAGAAATTTCAGCAAAATGTATCTAAATCAGATCTCATTCAACAAAAACTAACAACTACTTCAACAATTGGTCCGCCTCAAGGCCCTCGAAAGTCTGGATCAGAGAAATTGTTGTTAAAGAGATGGGCAGATCAGTATTTTGCCTGATTGGACATGAGGAAGCACAAGCTTTGAGGAAACATTCGTTGCACACCTTTTTTTTAAAACATGTGGGAGCTACTTTGTGGGTATTATTACTATTATGAGGTTTATTGAATATATATAGCATATTTTTTTTAACACATTGACAATATATGGGTTTTGGGAGAGGATCAGATGTAGGTAGCTCAATATACCATAATGGTGTGTTTCGATCGGAATATACCTAAATGAACACCATTATCAACTAAGAATACGAAACAAAAAACCCTTGAGCGTCTTTGAGTCCCTTTTTCTAATTCAGGTAATCAGCGTCGTCTTTAAAAGGTAGACCACGGGCGTTGTAATTAAGTGGTTGCATCATGAGGTTATGATGAAACCGAGATTCTATTGTTCCTGGGTCAATTGAAAATATTGAGTTTGGGAGGATAACTCATTTGAATAGACCTCAATTCCTTGGAATTTTCAGAGTAATGTTATTGCTATCAGCTACTTGATATCCTATGCTTATTCTTTTCTTTTCACTTGTACTTTCATGTGATTTCCCATCCTACGCAATTTGTGGTTCTTAACACTTCAAATCTGTGTACCGAAGAAACATCAACAACACGTTTTCTTTGCTAGCGAAACATCCACCATCTTACAACTCCCCAAGACTAAAAGTGAAGATCTACTTAGTAGCCATTGTCAGATCTGGTAGCATTTCCATCATTTTCAAAATCTATAAATTGCAGTGGACCAGCTCCTAATAATTGTTCTTTCCCTTTGCACATCATCTCATTCTTTTATACCCAGAATACACCAAAATGGTCAAAATTTCAAAACTCCTAGGAGCTTCAGCTCTTATTGCCAGTGTTGCTGCTTTACCAATCTCAAAAGTTACTGAAGCCTTGGAAGGTTCTATCACCACCCAATACACTTCAGATTTGACTAGGTAAGTACCTAGTTCGCCATCAACCACAAATCCGGGGTAGTGAGTACTAACTCAACAACTATAGAGACGTGTTTGTCAAACAAATACACTCCCATAATGACTACTGGAGAGACATTCCATTGTTTACTGCCTTATCATATGGTGTGCAATCTGTCGAAGCTGACGTTTGGCATTTTGAAAATGATGACACAATCTATGTTGGTCATCATCAAGCTGCTTTGAACTCTGCAAGAACTTTCCAATCAACCTATATTGACCCAATTGTTGAAATTCTTACTGCTGCAAACCCAAACAATACTTTCACAGCTACTGAAACTAAACCTAACGGTGTTTTTGATACCGATTCAAGTGCTACTTTATACTTATTTGTTGATTTTAAGACTGAAGGTGAAACTTTAATGCAATACGTTATTAAAGCTTTGGAACCATTGAGAGCAAAAGGCTGGCTAACAAAATACCAAGAAGGTCAAGGTATCTCGTGGGGTCCTGTTACAGTCATTGGTACTGGTAACACTCCATTTGACTTTGTTTCAAAACAACAAGAACGTGATTATTTCTTTGATGGACCTTTGAAAACATTGAATGGTTCATATCCAGTTGAATTGAACCCAATTGCCTCAGCTTCTTTGAAATCCTTGGTTGGTGAAAACATCGGACCAAATGGATTGAGTGATAATCAATTAGATTTGTTGAAAACTTACATTGATGCTGCTCATGATAAAGGTATCAAAACTAGATTATGGGATGTTGCTTGGTGGCCTGTGCAAAAGAGAGATGCACTATGGAGACAAATCATAAATGCTGGTTCTGATTTCTTGAATGCTGATGACCTTGAACTGGCTTCAACCTTTGTTTAACATGCTCCCATTCTTCACTTTCTTCTAGACGTATAAAAGATCAGAGCTACAACTTCATAGCTTGTTTAATCATTTGGTTTTAATTTTATTTCATACACATAAAAGTTTGTTTACTATATAAAGTCCTGCTTGTAAATTCAAACTCTTCCTTAATAAATATTGAGCTCTTCATTAGTCATTTCTCTTATCCATGAAGCTTGACAGTTCTGATTATTCAAATTCTTAAATTTACTAAACATACCAGCTTTGCATTTTTTACATTTTGGTGAGTTTGGGCAATTATTGTAAGGAAAATGTTCATATCCAATATCTCTAAACCAATGAATTTGAGTCTTGGTGGCAAACAAACCTAACCCCAATGAATGAACAGGAGCATCACCCCATCTTTCATAATAAAATCCACCATTTTCATTCAAATATTCCATCCATTTAGTGTAAGCTTCGCCTCTATAAAATTCCATATCGCCAATTTCAAAATTTGACCAGAAATGACAAGTTGAATAACCATTTGCTATAGCAGTTTGTTCTGGATTTTGTTCATTTTCCAAGATCCAGCTTAATGCAGCGTTCTTGTTCAGATACTGAGGATTTTTCTTTAAAAATTCCTGTGTAGTTGGCCATAATGAACGAACAGAATCAGGTGAATCGTAAAGATTCAAAACAAACCCATAAACTTTATCATTATCTTGCATGAATTTGAAAACATCATAATCTAACTCACAAAAATAATTGGTGTTTGGTTCTAATCTCCAATAATATCTAAATTGCTTCATTCTTTCATGATTATAAAAATTCATTGAATAATAACGACACATGTTATGATAGGAAATCTTTTTTGAATATCCAACGCCCTTTTCATCTAAATACATGACTCCTTCCTTCTCTTTCACCGGATCAATAAAGTCAGGTCTATCCCAGCTCGCTGAATCAACAACTTCAAAGTAGACAGGTGCCGAAGTAACTTGAGCTATTCCTTTTTTGAAACGATCACTGAATGGTTTATCGTTTAGAAAAACATATGGATATTGATACTTCTTATTGAATGTTTCTTCAATTTGAGAAATGGTGGACATTAATCCTCTCAATTCAGAATTCCGTACTAGTGAAACAAAAGTAGCATTTGCCTTTTCATAATTAGGATCACCAATGCGAGTAATTGGTAAATTTTTTGGTTCAGTAATTGGTTTCCTCATCACCTCATCAAACAATTGAACATTTTGCTTCAAGACATCTTTAGGCTTCTTTAAAGACTTGGGTATTGGAGTGATTGCATCATTCAATTTGATTTCATAGCCTGGATCGCGTGATAATGAGTTGGTTGATGAATATTTATCGAGAAGGTTTTGATAATACTGCCTTATGTCTTGAATTGAACTGCTTGAAACCTCTATTTGTGATGGGTAGTTGGTGAACAACGTTATGGTGAGCACTATCAGCACTGCGAGTAATATCTTTTGAAACCTCTTGGTCAGCGTCAGCATTATTTCCCTTGGTATCACTGTACTCTGTTGTGAAAACACACAACAATGTGTTCTATTCAGCTAGCTGTCATTTTGATCTCATACGTTGGAAACTTTTTGACACGGGCAACAGGGGTTCGCGAATCCGTTGCGAACTGAAATTTTGGAATCTCTCTTCAAGTTATTTTGGAGTCGATTGGTGTGTTTGATTTGGAAAGTCGTGGTTGAGACTAGCTTTGTCTGTTGTCTGCTGTTGATATGATTATGGCTATCAACTTCTGTGTTTTACTTCAATGTGTCAAACTGAGACCCTAAATAAGTACTAATCCCTGAGCTGACTATCAGATTTCCAGGTCATTAAAGAGTTTATCATGATCCAGCTGTCAGTCTACTCAAGTATAATTAACTAGGATAAGGGTCTTTGATCGGTACCTATATGTCCCAGGCACAGTTTCCAATGGCAAAGGCTACAGCTATGAGATTGACACAAGCACGTTTTACTATCAGCGCTTACTAGGGTTCCAGCATGAACATACTAACCGAGTGGATAAAGCGTTCCAATTTAACATAGTATACACTGTACACTGTACAGACTGCTCTTATCGGTGTTTGGAAGTGTGAAACTTGAACCCAGTTAAAGATATAAGAAGCCATGAATCTTCACCAGCATATCTGTACATTTAACTGACAGATTTCACTAATACAAACTTAAGTGGTTGTACAGCTTTACAGATTTCAAATCATATTAGACGACCTACGACTCAAGACATTCTTCAGAAGTCAATATTCAAGGCGTCTTCGATCATTTTAATTTACAAGTTGCTAGTGGTGATTGTCATGAATGTATACTACCCCTGCTGATTCCTGATCTCTGATATTGATTATTTATTTGAATTATATGCAAACTTATATATTAACGTCGCTCAATTCAAGAGTGGTACTGAGTTTAAGAGATTACATATATTGTCAAAATTATAAGATCAGCTATATCATATCAGTCTTCTTTTTGGAGAATAAGGTTCTTAATCACATATAACGGGATCGTTCATTTTTTTTTGAAAATTTCACTAACAAAATTATGTAAGCATTTGCCGGCAAATTTTTTTCAGGCAAAAATTTTTGTCCGTTGGGAGAAGAGACAAAAGACAATCAGTCACGTTTTCTATCACGTGTAGGCCAACTGGACTCGAAAGAATAATCGTCATCTAGCATAAGAACGAAGTGCAGCATAGCTCAAAATGATAAATTACATACATAGTACATAGAGTATACAGGCTTTACATTACATTAGAATCAGCTTTGCAGTATTACAAAAGGTCCTTGAATTGATTGGTTGCAATAATATCTATTTTTGGGTTGGTTATATAGCTCTATATACGATAAATCTAAATCTGGGGTAGTTTCAAAGCTGGACATCAAGAACAATATGAAATGAAACTAGATGCTCTTAAAGCTAGCTGAACATAATCATATTGCATTCCAGTTATCCATATGATCGTTTAGTCAGTATCCCAATCAAATA